TTAACACTAACCCCCCGGTAAACCCCCCGCCAAGTCTTTTTTAGTAGCTCTAGAACCTAGCCGGGTTATATAATATGGAGTAGTATTTGCGGACCATCTTTTTGAAAATAGTATATTGCAAAGTAGGTACTCCATTCGTCCCTAAATATTTGTCACACTTGTATTCCCGAAGTAAAATATCCAGCTTTTTCAATTCATTTTATTTACATATTAGTATAGAAATAAAATATAAAATTTACATATCAAAAAACTACATGAAAAGTTCTTCGAAATAAGAGGTTTCAAGAATATTTTATTTTATTAAATAACCAATGAAAACGTAAAAAAAACAAAAGTTTCCGTGACTGCTGAAAAAGCAAGTGTGACAAATATTTTGGGACGGATGGAGTATTTTATAACATGTGGCTTTTTGTGTTTTATCATAAATTTTAAAATTTTACATTTGTAGTCTTTAGTTTTTGAAAATTATTTTAGAACTAGCTAATCCCTAAGACCAAACATGATCAGATAGTTTTTTTCTATATATAGTTTCCGAAAGACAAATAATAGATGGAATAAAAAAAATGGCTAGGATAACTTAAGTTGAATTAAAAATTGGATATGATTCTAATAGGGACGAGGGCCTTGACATATAAAAAAAGATGAGTCTCATCCCCGATGGTTTCCTCAGAGATTGCCAAACAGTAATTGAGAAGAGATAAATTGGTCATTGATTGTAAATTGGTGGAAAAAGTAGAATATACATCTGATACTTGTACATAGGCCTTGTTTGGGAAGAGTGTTTTCAATTAACGTTAGCGTTTTGATAAAATATTAACGGTGTAGATTAATTCGAAAAAAGCAAACACTAAAGGCTATCGTCAGATAACTTTTTCAAAACGCTAACGCTAATCTCTAACGCTGATGCCAAACGGTACCATAATCTTGACATCAAGAACGAAGGGTGTAATTAGAAGGTGGGTGGTTTGGGCCGGGTTGGGGTGGGGGGCAGTGGGGGTTAGAGAAGGTAGGAGCTTCCAACTTAACTTTTTCATACCCTACCTATCACATCATATTTTTTCTCTAATAATCAGACTCTCACATTTTACTTTTACCCATCACATCATGAATAAAATTAGAAAGTCAACCAAAATTATACTTTTCTTATTTTTGCCCAAAGTAAAAAATGATAGAGTTTAAAGGAACGGACAGAGTACAACATTTTTAAAGAATGAATATTACTCCCTCCGTCCCACTGTCTTTTTCCACTTATCTTTTGGCACACCATCCAATGCACTTCTTTAATCCATTTTATCTTGTAATTTGTATATTAAAAAATTATAAAAATTATATATTAATAATATATATGTTAAGACAAATCAAACAAAATCACACATGACTATATTTAAGCTTACACATTGAGAAAATTTGATGAGTCAAAGTGTTTAGATGAACAGTTTCAAAAGTCAAAAGTGGACAAAGACAGTGGGACGGAGGGAGTATTTGAATTCCCTGCCTTCATTTCTACGTCATGGGAGGGGTCCCATTGCGAAAGAACTTGCGAACTTAATAAGGCCGCGTTGATGATGGCCTTTACGTGCACGGAACCTTAGCGGAGGGAGTGGGCCGGGCTGGGCCCAAACGGAATGCTATATCATGAACTTTGTTGAAATAAAGACAAGAGGAACGCTTAAAATAGATCATACACCGAGGATGCATATATTCATCATATAAGAAAAGAAGACACATTTTTCCGTGAAGTTAAGATCTATGTTCATTTTATGGACTTTGGAATCATATAAGCATTATTCATATATTGTGTTGTGTACAATCAGTTTACAGCTATAATTATTAATTCGCTTTGTTTGTTTCAGCTCTAACTCTTAACTTTTAATATTTTTATAACTTTTTCTAGTTTCTTCTAACTCATGATTATTTCTAACTTATTTGAGTTTCATCATATTCTTTCAAGTTTTTCCAACTTCTTTCAGTTTTTTCCAAGTCTTTTCAGTTCTTTCAATTACTTCCAACAACGACTTTTAAAAAAATGGAGTACATTCCATAAAAAGTCCCCAGTTATAGGTCATTTTACATATTTAGTCCCTACATATGAAATATTACTAATTTAGTCCCAATTATTATATCATTTTTCACGAATGATCCTTTGTTAACGTTTTTGTTAAAAACATGGATAAAATTGTATATTCATACTTCTCTCTCTCCTGAATTAAGTTTCCTCCCACCTCTCGTACTCTTTGAGTAATAACTGGAGACTTTTTATGGAATTTACTCAAAAAATTACTTAGATATATTTTCATATTTTATTATTATTATTGTTATTTCAATAAAATAAAAAATTGATTTAGTATTGCAAATTATTAATTACAAAAATATGTAATCGAATAAATTTTAGTTACAATTAATGAGTCAATATAACTTGTTAAAATTCTAAAAATAAATAATTTGGAATTCCCTTTGTAACATTTGCAATATGGTTACGTTAAATATGATGTCATTAATTATGTTTCTATCAACGTTACTCGATCTATATGTTAGAGACAAGCAAAATTAGAATTAATAAAATAAAGTATTAATCTATTATTAGTGTTATTTTTATGGTACGGTGTGATTTACTTTTTACCTAAATATGGTTGTATTACATCTTTATTTTGGTGATTTTTTAAATGAAAAAATTAGAAATAATCAAAGTTATTATTTTTAAATTATAACTTTAGAAAATTAGAAATAATCAAAATTAGAAATAATCAAAGTTATTATTTTGGTGTATTACATCTTTTTTTGGTGTATTTGGCTTATCTAAATTATTTTTTTTGATAATTATATATAAAACAATTCATGTTAAATGAGTAATTTCTAATGCAAAATTTACATCGCTAGTATCGGGTCATGTTTGTAAATATTTTGATATATAAAGGTAATATAAGATTATTTTTTTTAGTCAAGATATCGTTATAGAGTATTAATTATGTCTAGTTTTTATTTCAACTAAAACTAGTGAAAGTGTTGCTACATTTGTCACCTTATCTTTGTCATGTGGATTACTAACTTTTATTTTTAAGAAATGAAAAATTATATCATTGATGTTGATCTTAAAATGTAAAGAAAATAGGAGTGCGAGTCGCACAAAATTTACTAATACGATTTGAGATAAAATATAATGGTATAGAATAAATAAAAAGAGATTTTTTTAAAGTAGAGCATAAATTATTTAAAAATAATATGAAATTTATAAAATAAAATAATTATTTCAACACTTTTTATTTTTTTCCAACTCCTAATTTCTTTCAACTTTTCTAGTTTTTTTCAACTCTTTTAAGTTTCTTCTAATTCATTGTAGTTCTTCAACTACTTTCGGTTCTTCTAACTCCTAGTTATTTTCAAAATTTTCCACTATTTTCCATTTCCTTTCAGTTTCTTCTAATTCTTTTTATTTTTTTTCAACATCAAACTCTGTTTTTAAAATTGAAATGAACATAATTTAATGCACAAAGAAGCCACCGTCTTTGACATAGGCCCTGTTTGGCATCAGCGTCAGAGATTAGCGTTAGAGTTTTGAAAAAGCTATCCGACGGTAGCCTTTAGCGTTAGCGTTTTCAGAATTAATCTGCACCGTTAAAATTTTATCCAAAACGCTAACGCTAATCGAAAACACTGTTACCAAACAAAGCCATAGTAGTGGCCGCATGACAACCACTTGATTTGTACTTCCCGAAGCCACCACGAAAGGCATTCAGGCAACTAAACCAGATCTAAACATACCCACGTAGGAAGGAGAAAAACACAACCATTAGAGTTGAACACACCTAGATTTGAGAACCACCACCAAAAAGTAGGAATATGATCACATTGGAGTTTATTTGACGACCTTGGTTCCCATGACATTGGGAACCAATGTCATGTAATGACTCGGAAATGCTCCGGTGTCTCGTTCGTAAAATTGAAGGTTCCTATCCCCCTAACCCCCCACCCCGACCCGACCCGAACACAACCCCCTTCAATTGCACCTCACAAGTTGATTTTGACTTTGGAGTCAAATTTTGACTCCAAAGTCAAAACCAACTTGCGGAGTGCAATTGAAGAGGGGTAGGGGTGTGTTCGGGTCGAGGCGGGGTGGAAGGATAAGGGGTAAAAAACAACAATTTACGAACGGAACACCGGAACGTCCCCAGGTCATCCCATGACATTAGTTCTCAATGTCACGTGAACTTCCCCTTATTTGACATGGATGAAGGAGAAAGAAATGAATAGCAACATCAGGTAAATGATAGGTAGGAGTTGTACTTCCCCCAAGGTTATTGGGATGTGAAGGAAGAAAAAAACTTTCTAGATAGAAATTTTTTTATATCAGAAGACATAATTTTAAATGTTACGGAGTATATGTCTAATTTCTCTGTATTTTCTAAATGAGGAAGTGAAAAAAATAAAAATTAACTTTTAAATGTTAAAAAAAAACAAATATGAAGCACATCGTTAGGTCGTGTTTGATTTTTTTTAATTTAATTGGGCTCTTTTTATTTAATTAGGAGATTCCAAAAAGTTGGGCCTAATTTTTTTTAAAAAAATCCTTTGGACCCTATTCATACGGATATAACAAAGGAATTTTTAAAAATATGGTGACATTTTAGGAGTACATGAGGATGAATAGATGATACATTGTAAAAGACATAAAAATAGTCAAGATACGCGTGATATTAAAAATTGTGAAAAATCAAATGAAAAGAAAGAAATGTAAGAGAAGAAGTACCTCGTATGAAAAAATGTTTATTATAAGAACATTAGAGAGGGGTAAAAAGAAATGTTTATAGAAAAGAATAAAATGCGATCAAAATACAAAAAAAGAAGTGTCAAAGTTTTGGTAGTGTGAATGGTGGTTATGTAATATAACACTGTCAGTGGTAATATGGTGATGGACAACCGGTCAATGGTGGTCAACCATTGCGTTCAACCGCAGAGTTTTGGTGACAATGTACACTTCCATTTACGGAGTACGTCACAAAAAGAGGATTACTCCTATTTTAGTATTTTCATTTTTGTTGCTTCTATTTAGGATGTTTTCAAAAATAAAAATAGAAAGCCCATCCAATGCTTGATAGATTTTTAGTTACATTTCATCAATTGATGGTTGGTTATTCAGAGCAACTCCAATAACACAAACATGATCTCTTTTATATATATATGAACTCAAAAATTTGAGTCTGCAACTATAAAAAGCTTATCATTATCTCTTATGACTTCTACCGAGTCGATTATCGTTCCTTCTTCATCTGTCACACAAGCATTTGTTGCATCAAACCCAAACTTCTCCCCTGCAAAGCCAGACCAAAACAAAAACATCATTTAAGAACAATGAATCCCAAACCTGTCAAATGTTGTTTTGTGTACTATACCTGCAATGCCCTTTAGCGCCTCTACCGAGCCAGGCAATTTGATTAGCCTTCCCGGTTCTCTGCATTGCATTTCTCGCCTTGTCCGAGGATGGCCTCTGTATATGCTAACTCTTATCATTGAGCATTGTTTTAGGGTATCAGTAGGACCTTTTTGATCCATTATGTGCCCTTTCTTTCTCTGTAGGACCTCATTAGTCATGCCTAGGGACTCCAAATGGACCTTAGTTGGCTCATCAATCTCTGCCCCATTCATCAGCAGCAGCTTTATCATGTCTGTCTGGTTGTTGTTCTCAGCCACAGCCACTTGAAGGGCAGTCCTCCCGTGTCGGTCCCTGGAATCGATGTGGAGCCCGTGTTTCAGAAGCTCCTGCATTGCAGCGAGATCGTTTGATTTTGCTGCTTTGCATAGGAGATCCCCTGCTACGTAGGGGTCAGAAATGGTTGCCCAGTGGTACAATACGCTGAATATTGAATGTTGTTTTTCCCCTATAGCATCCCATAATGCCGTGTTACCTTCCACATCTGCAACATATTTTACCTTGGATTATAATCGACAGTCGATAGTCAATATGGCAATGATGACCAATTTTGAATGAACTTTAAGGTTTTAAAAAGGAAAAATTATCCTAAATAATCTCAACTTTACCCGATCTTTCAAAAATAATCTCATCTTTGTTTGTGATGCATAATAATCTAACTTTGAAAGACCATGTAAAGTTGAGATTATTTTGGATAATTTTTTCCTTTAAAAAAACTATCTATGGATTTTTTGTTTTAAAAATGTTCTTCAACCTTTGACATGTATGTTACATCCATGCTTGAGGAGCACCATCACACACTCTTCATGCCCCTTTGATGCTGCAATATGCTGATGAGTTCAATAAAAAACATTATTTTATAATAATAATAATAATAATAATAATAAGAATAGTGATTAATTAATTTATAAGTAGCTAAATGAATATATGTATATACCAATGGAGTCTTTCCTTTAGAGTCTCCAATGTTAGGGTCCATTCCTGCCTTGAGAAGCTCATTGAGAAAAGTGGCATTCCCAGTGGCCACAACTGTCAACAAGTTGATAAACTTGTTTGGATCTTCATCTTCTCCACCTATATCAATGAACAAATCCCCCAGCTTCAGATCCTTGAGCTTTTTGTGGTGCTGCATATATTAATGTTCATCCAAACAGAAACCCATATCAATCATCCTGAACCAGAAGCTTAAAACCCGTTAACCTCGAGAAAGTTTTACTAACCTGGAGAAAGTTTTTGATCATGGTAATGTTATCTTCCCGTTTCATTTGCATGACTTCAAGAAGAGTACTTGTCCTCAGCCTGAGAAGCTGGGAAAGAGTCTTGGTTCGATATGTGAAGCTCTGCGGGCTGCGACAAAAGGCACTAACCTCTCCGAACATGTCTCCCGGACTCAAAGTCCAAACATATTTCTCATTATCCTTAGTCTCCGTGTCGATCACGTCTACCTCCCCTGACACTATGATATAAACGTCGTCAGGGGATTCGTTCTGCATTATCACATCCTCCCTTGGAGGAAGATACTCTGCCTTCATATCAGCTACCTGAAATATTCAAGGTATTTAACCAAGTTTGTAAAGTTTGACCAAAAAAGACAAACATACAGAATATTTTGGGACCAATGTTACTTTGTAAAGTTTGACCAAAAAAGCCAAACCTACCAGACGCAGTAAGATTTCCTTAGAAATGCCCTTGAAGAGATAAACTCTCTCGACGGTTGGCAGAAACAAATGTTGGCTGATGCTTTTGCATATTGTTTTCGGGAGGTTCTCAATCAGTTCCTGTCTGTTTAAGCTGTCTGCTCTGAATCTCAAACACATGTAAGCTAATATCTGCTCCTTCAACCGCGGAGGCAAGTGGTTGCGCCGCACAAAATTTGACGCTGCTTCAATGTTGTTCCTCTGCGCGCAACAATGAACATTATTAATTAACTTTCTTCTTGGTTTGTTTTGACAGTTGACACGAATTTTAAAAAGTGGAATATGTAGGACTGCTTACGAATTCCATGGTACGCCGGGTGCCTTCAACGACCAAATTAGTCATGTTGCCGATTATGTAAGCTGTAAATCCGAGATTGAAGAGCATGTAGAAGATGATGAAGATCATCTCCATAGTGTTGACAGCATGGAGGTCTCCATACCCAACCGTGGTCATGGTCGTTATCGACCAGTACACCGCAGAAATATAGCGAATCAGAAGGCTTTCGTCTCTGAGATTAATCGATCCCAGCCAGTTTTTCCCCTTGTGTGGATATCTATCAGCTATCAAGTAATACAGGCAACCAGCACAATGCACAAACAGCAATGTACCCTACACATATAGGGACTATATTTTATTTGTCACCGAAAAGACAATTAGACGAATACCCTGAGATGAATGGAGTAATAAAAACGCGACTTACGAAAAGAAGCCTGACACATCTAACCCAAAAGTAGCTGAACCTAATGTCCTTCTCTAGCCTACAAATATCAAGAAGGAAATTAAAAACCAAGTTAAAGTCATGGCACTCTAGCTAAAAACATTTATTTTAAATTACACTTTTGTTTTTTGACCTGGTAAAGAAGCTGCTGACCCTGCGGAGTCGCCAAAACCTGAGCATTCCTAGGATGGAAAAACAAAGGCCAGAGTGGTGTTTTCCGGTCACCAAAAAGGCTACCAGCTCAAATGGGATGGTTGACGCCACGTCCATCACGAACCACGTTGACAAATACCTGCATTACAATTAACAACCTATTATTAAGTATTAACACAACACACCACGAAAACATTGTGTTGTTTAACGGATTCTGATCATGTATATGAAAGTTATTTGAATCTACATACATTGATTGGCATGCATCTACTTATCCCATAACATAACCTACGAAAGAGTAACATTGTACCGATATCTATTGGAATTTTTAAGTTATACCCAAAAGGTTAGCGCGAACAATATAAATTTTGTCAAATTGGGTATGAAACAAATGTGTCAAAAGAAAAAGAATTGCCTATAACGAGTAGTATTATTGCCAAATCTTAGCTTGGTTACTCTTTGATGAAAATAGATTAAATTAATCACTACAGATTATTATGCGGAGTATATCTTAAACCAAGATGTATGAAAGAAAAATGAAACATAGGGAGTATTATACAAAATTAACATTTTGTGCAAACTAGTTAAATTGATAACTTTCAATTAAGTGTTGCATATGCCAAAGATCTCGTGGTCCTATGCCACTAAGGCAACTCTTCCAAATGGAAGGTCACGGGTCCAATTCCCAACGGATTCGATAACTCTTAGTATTTCAATTGATTAAGAAAGAATAAATGAACATATAGTACAATTCTAATAGAGTTATTAGTGCTAAAAAACACTGCACTTGTTGCTCATCCAAACGTAACTCTTAACCGCATCTGATTTTTTAAATAAGAAATCGTCCAAAATATGAGTAAAACGTAAGACTCAACTCCAAAATAAGATTTCCATTTTTTGATCCCAAAATAGGAGTTTACACCGTAATAATGTGGCACTGTATATTACTATTTTACAGTATTGTTTGGTATTATATGTTGACAATTACGGATTGTAACTCCTATTTCAAGAATAAAAAACATGAAATTCCCATTTTGACATTTTTCCATGTTTTACTCATTGTTTAGTCTTTTTTTTTTATTTGTTTTTTTCCAATGATTAATTCTCCCTTGTCAAGGAATTATTTTCGAAATTTAACTTGAGACGGATTTTTAATAAAATGAAACAGGAGCAATTGTGATTTATGTAGAGGGGTAAAGGGGCAGAATCGCACGAACAGATAATAAAGTCGCAAATTCCAAAGGGTGGAAAGAAATGGAAGTTCCTTCTGATCCGAATATCTGCTAACATAATGGTGTTGGGCCCGGGATGGGCCGGGCCAGTCTATAATGCGACCTTTCAGTGATGAGAGAGCATCAATCAAGTGGCCCACCACAACCACTTCTCATTACTTGAGACAAGAAAAGAATCAAAACACAAGACCGACACAAGTTGTACGTCCACGCCCACTACTTGTACATTTTTATTTTCAACTTTTAACATGCCACCAGGACTTCATTATTCGTACTTTAAAAAAGAAGTACATTATCATTCCCTCTCTTATGAAATAAATTGTCATAAATAGCTGAAAATAAGTATTTTAAAAAATGGAGAGGAGAAAGAAATTGTAAAAGTCATACATTTGCTTCTTCAAAAGGAAAATAATTTTTTTTTGTGACAAACAAAAATATTATGTCAAAACTCTAACGCTAATTTTTAACGATATTCCCAAACATACTGATAATGTAACATTTTTTTTGTACGGCCAAAGCATAAAGTAGATGTTTTAACTACAATGGAGGGAGTAGCTAGCTAGTGTGTACTTAGTTAGTAGTCCCAAATAAATTTTCAATCAATTTCAAAATCAAAACAAATGAAAAATTTATAAATTTGGTTCGTGAGCTTGGTCAAAATCAAAACAAATGAAAAATTTATAAATTTGGGAAGAATGATGCATGTGTCTCCACATATGAATGAAATGGAAAAAGAACTTAATTTTGAAACCATGATATTTGCATGCAAGAAAATAACTAACTCCTTCCAAGTAATGTACGTATATATACACATGACTTAGGTAAGGGGGGAATTGAAATGTATGTATATGCATATTGATACCATACACACAGAGACTGACCTGGTGGCGATTTTGGTGGGGTGGCGAACGAGGAGGTGAGTGGTGGGGTGGAAGTAGGGGACGAAGAAAGTGAGGACGATGTCCACCGCGAAGAACAAGTCCACCACGTTGTCCACAACGTACAACGGGTGCTGGCTGTCCTTCCCCAGGAACGCTATCTCGAACGGGCACACCCACGCCGAGTATGCCACCAGCACCGCCATCCACGTCTCCCAACACCTGCATTCTTATATATCATCATCATCATCATCATCATCATCATCAATCTAATATCGCGCCGGTGGTGGATGCTAAAAAGAGACTATTAATATATAATTTGGTTTTTCCCCAATGTAATAGGGCGGGCGGGCACCTGTATTTGGAATTGGTGGGAGAGACGATGATGAACTTCCCGGGAGGGGTAGTGGCGTGGAGGGTAGTTTGGGAAGAGCCGAGGGGAGGGACTATATACTTTGAAAGCTTTCCCAGGCTGAATTCATCTTCTTCTTCACCCACTCCTCTTCCTCCTCCTCCACTATTACTACTACTGCTACTACTCATACTTTCTTCTTCTTCTTCTTATGATGATGAAGAGCTCAATTAATTAACCTCTTTTCTTCACCAAATACTCATTCTTGTGCTAATTATATTTCCCAAATCCATATATATACTCTATGAATTAATTATTGGACCTCATAGTCCTATGTATGTATGTATGTATGTATATATATATAAAGGCCAAACACTTTAGGATGGGAGTATCTTGAATTGAATGGGTCGGTTTGCCCGTATCTCTAACTCTTCTAACTTATTTTTGGTTTTGTTATACTGCGGTTGACGTCTCTCTTGAAAACAACCTCTCTCTCGCTTCAAAATCTATCTACGTACGTAATCGATCAACTAACCGAGACTCTACCTGTCTTATTCATTCGTGTTATTTTAATATTTTTTTTTCATTTTTATTTTTCGATTTTTCCGAAGGAAAAAGTTATATGATTCATATTGTTTTTCATTTCTCTACACAGACTTCAATCAGATATGTTTAATGAGATATTTTATTTATGAACATATTTTGTGATACAAGGGGTGGTAGGTGATAGAGAATCAGAGAATGAATAGAATGGGGCCGGGGCGGGTGCATGGTGGCCTATATAGTCATGACTTGATCGAGTGGCCCTTTCATCAATTCAAAGACTCCTCAAATTTATTACCCTATCTGAACTGACCGATTCTGTGGGAAAAGATATACTCCTGCAGCAGGAGTTATCAGTTATGGAAACAATAATGCTAGGCAGGTACCGCGTTTGTACACCAAACAAAAACAGATACACAAGACATTTTATGCCTGTGTCCGCACGGATGGAATGTGTGTGTATGTCTGTTTTTGCTTAGCATACAAATAAGGTACTTCATTTTGATGTACCCCTAGTATTGCCTTTATGAAAACTGCCCAGAGGGTCAAAATGTGAAAAGCATTGGCAAGAATACAAAGGGGCAATTTACCTTCTTTAAATGAAAATTGCTAGTTGGATGCCTCCAAATGGTTGCTACTAGGGATGCACTCATATTTCGCAAAGATGAGTATCATCTATGTCGCACAAATGAGTGCACCCCTTAGAACCTTTAATTTTTTTTAAACGGTTCCATATTACTGGTTAATAAAATACGGAGTACAAGTTTAATTTCAATAAAATGAAAAGTATGAGGGGTTTGAATTTACATGAACTGAGAGACACTTTGAACTTTCACACATCCTCTGTGACTTACCTTTCCTCCTCGCCTGCTTAAGTGATGAGCTACTTTCTTCGTCCCAAAATAAAAACATGTTTTATTTTTATAGAGCTTAGAAAAAATTTTGAAAAATAAAAATTGTACATATAGTTAGAATTTGTTTAGATTAGAGAGAAAATTGTGAGTATTTTAAATCTAATTTATTTGAAAATTGATGCAACATTAAAAAATAAAAACTAAATTTTTAAAAAATATGTCAAAAGTTCTACGAATCAAGCTAGATATGACATGATTATATTATTTTATCAAATAAGTAATAAAAATAGAAAGAATAGATAAAATTTAATCATTTGAATAATGTGCAACACAAATTAAAACAGATGGAATAAGTGGGAAGTTTCTCCTAAGATGTTCAAAAAGAGAAAAATATATAAAAAGAAATTGGAACAAAGGAAATATTGGAGAAGCTAATAAGGATTGATGGACATAACAATTGACATGTATTATATATGAGTTTTCAATTACTCTAAATTTGTATTACATATTAGTATACAACAACAAAAACCCAATTGAAACCCACTACAGTAGGGTCTGGGGAGGGTGTGTGTACGCAGACCTTGCCCCTACTCGGAAGTAGGGAGGCTGTTTCCAAGAGACCCCCGGCTCCACCTGCACAGAAGAATATGATAAAAATCACAGTATAACACAGATAAAACATCAAGTACAATGGAATGAAAGTCCTGCAAGCAATAACAAAAAATTCTAACCAAACAAAACACACTACAAAAAGTCTCTGAAACACCGGGTTCCTATCCAGCAACTCTAATCCTAATTCTCCAAAGGTTCCTATCTAAAATCATATTCTCAGTCAGGGTGAGAAGTCCTAAATCCTGCCTAATCACCTCCTTCCAATTCTTCCTAGGTATTGCATGTTAGTATAATGCAATATAATTTTGAAATTTTTCAGTAGGATTATCTAACAAAATCATTTTTATGTTAAAACACATAGTGATTTTTATAGAATTGAAGTTCAAAAATCATCGATTTAACTCGAAAAAATCAAACTGGACAAAGTATACATAGCAAATACATCTCTTATTGGGAAACCCTATTCCAAAATGTAATTTTAATCTCCACTTACACAAATGTGAATATCCTAAATTTAATGAATTTATATTGCTAGCAGTAGTATTTTTGTTTAATTTTTTTTGGGTGAAAACCTTGAGAGTGTGTGTGTGGTATCTCATCAGCTTGCGTTGCATGCATTATCTCTATACATACCTTTGCAACTTGTAGCTTTATTAGTTTAACATAACTGACTGGACATCACTTTAATATTCATCACGACTAAAACCAGTTTACTCTTTGGGGGTTGACTGATAATTGAGCACGTACGTTAAGGAAATGGATTCTCTCCATTTTCTGCAATTTCTCCACTTCACCTGCCTGAAATAATTAGTCAAGGATAACTCAACCACAATTTTTTTTTAATAAAAAAAAGGCCTTCTTAAACATATGTGAGATTTATGTTTATTTGAGCCTAGCATTAATTCTTTTTTCATTAATTGGATGACGATAAAGTTTGTACTCGCGACCTTTACATTAACATGATTTTGATACCAGCTGTAAGAGTATTTAAAAACATTTTCTAGGTCACAATCACAAGCTTGAATTTTTGGTTGAATCGATTTTTTGAAATGATATCAGAGCATTATTGACTAAAGGGTCACAAGTTCGAAACTCACCGTCACCCAGTTTTTTTAAAAAAATTAAGGTTACACGTGCAAATCTCAAAAAAGTCACGCTTGTGGCAACATGTTAGAGTATATATAAAAAATTTCTTGAGCCACAACCACAAGCTTGAGTTTTTGGTTGAATCGGTTTCATACAGAATCCCTACTCAATCAGGGTTTGAGAAGCTGAAACTTGTAGTTGTAAGTGTGGGAAATATTCTATACTCTAATATAATGAGTTTGTTTGAAGGGAAAAAAAACTGATAACTATATTTATGCTAGTTAACATTGTTTGATGAAAAAAATAAACTTCCAAGAGATATACATACGACTTTGCACAGCCTTAATTTGGACATGTTTGTGATTTTGACTTTAGAGGGAATCCTCCTACTGAGCTGAAAATATGACGTGTGTGATCTATCCAATCCCTTCCAAAGGGATTTTGACGTAATTATTAAAGCATCAAATTGAGGTTAAGGAAGCATCCCCATATCTTTGACCTTACTTGTCCCTCGATCATTATTCCTTGTTAATAAATAAAGGTGAAGATTCTTTGAATTAGAGGTTATTTTGGACCAGAAAAAGAATGATCGAGCGAGCCCAAAGTTTAGGGAATCCACTTTAATTTATTATTAAGGATTTAAGGTGTTTGAGAGTGAATAACTTGCAGATAAAGTGATTTTCACAAAGCTGAAAGCAAAAACACCTTAATCCTGCTTCTTCAAAATGATGTTCCATGCATAAAATAGTGGTAGAGCAAAACAGAACTTGACATGACACACACACCAAACACCCTCTAATAAGCAGCACACTACCAAACACCCTCTGATAAGAACGTTTTAAAGTTGATTTGAGGAGGTAGGCGATCGAGTCCCCATTAGGTTTGCCCAACTTTTTTGCTTTGCCTGATTTTGTTTGGCTAATTGTAGCGGTTGCGTTGGAGTCTTTCTTGGGTTGTTTTGATGAGTCGGGTCAACTCATTTCACTTTATTAAACGACTATCACACATGCCCAACATTAGATTCTACCGACCTATGAAGTTACTCCCGCGTCCCAATTTGAGTGGAATATATATTATTCACGTAGTTAAATTTTATTTACTTTTTAATCTATTTTTGTTAGTTATTTGATAAAATAATATACTCATGTCATACTAACTTTGTAGAGGTTTTATGTCGTCTTTAGATTTGTAATTTTTATTTTTTAATTCCGTGCTAATTTTTATATAAAATAAATTGAAAAATAATTTTGATAAAAAATTGTAAATAGAAATGGTTATTTAAATTGGAACGTGGGAGTACAATATACGCCCGTTCTTGAGGAGAGCTAAAAATTGTTGATGACGATATGGATGTTTGGGATTTTTTTTTCTTTTGTGAAAAACCTTAGCTTTATTCTAAACATGGAATTCAAAAGTATCTCAAAAGTGTTTTTCAGTTTTTGTTTTGTAAGACTTTCAACGTAGTCTTTTAATATGTACGGAGTAAATTTTATTAATTATTTTTATACCAATATTTAAAGAAAATAATTTTAAATAGTACTCCATATAAAATTTTGTCTCTGTAAATAGAAATTTGTAATCTTATTTGTACGGGAGAAAGGAGTATCTCTAGCTTTCTTTCACCAAATAGCCTACGAATGTCACGGATTGCACTGGAAATAGAGAATAGGGAAAGAAGCATTAAAATTTAAAAACGAGTTGACACAAAAACATTAAAATTTAAAAACAAGTTGACACAAAAATATTAAGGGAAAGGTTTCTTCAAGTTCGGGAATATTAACAATATGAATGGAAGTTTAGAACCAATATGAAAACATAATACCACACAATTGGAGAATATGGAAGGCATTATAGCTACACATTTAGAGAGAGGCTTAAGGCGGGGCTGGGGTGGGAGGGTAGGGGTGAGGCTAGGATGGGGGCTTAAGGGCGAGTTAGGAGTAAGAACCGTCAATTTTTTTATTGGAGCAGTGGAGGTGGTCCCAAAACGCAGTGGCGCTTCACCGTTAGCGAGTGTCAACTGAAGCATGTCCTATGCAAAAATATTTTAAAGTTCGAATCCCACCGATAAAAAAAAATTCACAAATTAAAACAAAGTAATGATAATTATTACTAATAATTAATCCGTATTAATTAAAGAGGCATTAATGCACCCTACGTTAGATTACTCACCACCATCACCTTTTTCCGTTTTTTCAACAAAAAGCCGCAGACCCTCTCTGCATCCCCTAACNACCATCACCTTTTTCTGTTTTTTCAACAAAAAGCCGCAGACCCTCTCTGCATCCCCAAACCCCCTCCCCTCCCCCCTCCTCCGGGCCCTCTATCAGTTACCATTAAATCTATCCCTTTCCGCCCTAAACACGATCAATTTGATCTGTTAATCTTGTCTCACCCACAACCAAACGCCGCCGCCGCCGCCGCCGTCTGACATATGGGACAGCAGCATTCCCCGAAGTCGGCCACCACGTCCCATTCGTACAAACTCTTTGGCATCATCGCAAAAGTCACATCCCTTGCCGAAATCTACAAGGCGTTTGCAAGGAGATTGCACCCCGTGGAGAGAAGCAGGTCCTATTTCCGCCGCCCGGAATCCAACTTCTTCTCCGCCAATGACGCCTATGGGGTAATCATAATTCGTGATAGTAATTCGCATTCCATTCGTTTCAAGATGAATTTCCCACCATTTAACGGGGACGATTTGAATTCTTCAGGCTTCTCGTGCTCGAAGGAGGGAAGGGGATTCCACACCGGATTCGGACAAGAAAACACGGGAAAGGAGGATGAAGCAAGATGTGGAAGAAGAAGAAGAAGAATTTGTGATTTCAAGTCCCAAGTTGTTGTCTAGGACCACAAGCCGGATCGCCCCAAAATTGTCTAAAAGCTCCAGCGGATGGAGTAGGGGCGGCACGCCTATACCTGCAGATTTGTATGCACATGTGCAAAGGTCAGCCTCAGTTTCCAGCACCACAACACCACCATCTTTACTTTCCAAAACAATGAGCCAAGCTAGGAGAAAGCCACCGCGTTTGGAGAAGAAGCTGAAATGCACGCTTGAGGAGTTGTGCTATGGATGTACCAAAGAGGTCAAGATTACAAGAGAGATCAATTCAAACTCCGGGTACGTGGCTGAAAATTCATTCATCCTCTCCCATATATATACTCCGTATCGTTTTAAAAAACCCTTCTAAGGAGTACCACATCAAAAAACTTAAGAGAAGCATGAAGGTTTATACACTAAAGCCTCTGTATAAGAATATCATTGAGACCAAACTAGTTATGGAGTATGATCTAATTGAAAAACCATATACAACCAAATAGATATATGTGTTCAAAAAATTTTATCTTCAGACCAAAATTTCTTATATTCTCTTCTCAAAACAAGGTTTCACAGTTGACCAGGCACAGTCATAATAAGGAAAAAAATGTGTGGTTGGGTTATGTGCAGAGAAAAATTTGTAAACCACACAATTTTTTCTTCAAAAGGAAAAATAGACTTTTTTAGGACAAATTAAAAAATGTGGAACTTTTTTATGGAGTGGTGGGGGTAATAAAATAGACATTATTTCTTATAAAGAGAACTCCTATCAAACTTTTATCTTTTTAGTATAGGTTGTCCAATGTGCATAATTATTGCCAGGTTGAGTGATCTCAATGCAATCATGATTTCAATGAATTCTAAATGAAGAGGAATCGGCTTATGGCAGGCTAATTCTTCAAGAAGAGGAGTACGTGACAATCAAGGTGAAGCCGGGATGGAGAAGAGGAACGAAGATTACATTTGAAAGAAAGGGAGATGAGAGGATGGGGACCCACCCAGAAGATATCATCTTTGTGATTGAGGAGAAGAAACACCCGGTGTTCAAGAGGGAAGGAGATGATTTGGAGATAGGAGTTCAAATCTCCTTAGCCCAAGCCCTCATGGGATGCACTATTGAGGTACCCACATTAGGAGGAGAGGAGAAGATGGTTGTCAACTTGGACAACGAGATCATTTATCCGGGGTTTGAGAAAACCATCCCTGGACAAGGAATGCCTAAATACAAGGAGGGTCAAGCAGGCCGTCAACGAGGAGACCTTAGGCTCAAATTTCTCATTGCTTTTCCCACAGATTTGAGTGAAGAGCAACGATCACAAGTTGCCAGTATACTGAAAGAATGTTTTTAAGTTGGTGTTCAAAGTTTTGTTGCCGTATTATTGGTCTGTTTGGATTTGTCTCCCTCCTAATAATACTAGGTGCAGGCTTTTTGAGTCATATGTGCATGAAGCATGTGTTTTGCTTGAAAATTGACAAAGCATTCCAATCATTTGTTCAGGCTTGATCGGACCAGAACATTACAACTAATTTAACCCTTAGAGCAATGCAATTCTAGGAGTCGCTTAGTGTAGCTCTAGTCGCGGCTGAGTTACTATTTTAGTTGAAATGAATGAAATTAGTTCTATAACCTTATTTTTTTAGCAACAACTTCAGCAATTTTAAACTTTAACAAACAGATTCTATGTGCTTTCGTTAAAGTAATAAAAGTAAAAAGGCAATGCGGCCACCACTTACCTCAGAATCAATGGCAGCAAACTCAATTCGTTCTTTAAACACAACTCTTTGATGATAGGAGACGTTGACGACCAAGATAAGGGACTTCCACCACTGTCCCAACGACACCATCCCCAACGTTCACAATGTCACCCTCAGAAGCAGCTCTCTTCCTGATATAGCCCAACCCAAAGGGCTTGGATACGTGTCCACCAGTTGTGACACTCGTAAGTTTGCCAACCTGTAAATTAGTATAGCTTTATTATCACACCAATAAGAAATCAAAATTAACAAGTAAGAGTAAAACTAGATAACCTTTTCCCCATTGATGGAGATGCTGCTGCCAGGTTCTACATGTGATGATAGATGAATTCCCCACAATCTTTGTTTGACTCCATTGTATGTAACAAGTCTAGAAATGGTTTCTTGTCCCTTATAGCACCCTGTGATCAATTTTCAGTTTATGAGAAACTACTGATATCAACAAAACCAGAACTTTTCTGCAAGGTCCAATTTCCTCAACCTTTGTCCAGAGAAATGGCATTCCAAAGATTAGCCTCTAGAACATTAAATTCATCTGTGAGCTCTTTACCAGGTGCTGGTCTTCCTGCAGCATTGAGTGAATTAGAGCTAAATAATACATGATCTGTCTCCAAAGAAAAGTTCTCTTCCTAAGATTTTTATTGTATTGTTAGATACTACGGAGTATTTCTGTAAAGCCAAGGGGCAAAGGAGTCATTTACTCCAAACCCATGAAATAAGCTCTAAGGGTATAAGAGACCATTCCTAATTTGTAAAAGGTTGTACCTTGATTAAATTGACTAAAACCAAAGAGCTATCCTTGCTCAACCAGGACCCTATTTATTTTTTGGTGGAGACAGATGAACTACAGAGTATATCTTAAGTTTAGGCATTAAAATAAGACCAATCCAAGCAAACTCGGAATTTGCATATCTAGGCTTCAAAAAAATCTGTTACAGAAGACTAAGGTGCTCTTACCATATTGTCTACGAGTATAAAACCAGGTTTGTTTAAGCAAGAGTAATGAAATTAAAGAGAATTAGAAGAGGTATGGGACACAATAAGGACATTTGAAAACCTTGTAGTATCCTCAACGTTTCCCACGCATTTGAACCCATGGGTACAGCACCCTGATCTTTAAGAGCTTTCCAGATTGATTTAGCATAAGCTGGTGATACCAACAGTAAAAACCCTTCTTCAGATATGATATTTCCAACTGCTATAGTAATTGGGGTCCCATTCACCTTTAACAAGTTAAGCAAGTTAATGGTTATGGTCTACAGCTAAATCATCATTATTTTTATAAATTTATGTACTATAGAAAATAGTTATATCCTCTAAAACTGCATGAGGCACACGTGGGTGGAATTTAAATCAAGTTTACACTGCATATGGGTTATTTGAGGCATTAGAGTGGGGAAAATCAGCAAACTTTAAAGAGCAAGGCATGTAATATACTTGTGCCAAAAATTTAATGCAGTGTTATCGAAAGAATGTCTCAACAAGTAGACACATTTATAAAAGCAGAGTTGGGTTGAGATTTTCTAGAGTAGTGTCAATATCAAGCTCATCAAGAATTCATTGAAAGTAAATGATTTCAGAAGTGGGAAGATGAAATTTAGTGCAGTGTTATCGAAAGAATGTCTCAACAAGTAGACACATTTATAAAAGCAGAGTTGGGTTGAGATTTTCTAGAGTAGTGTCAATATGAAGCTCATCAAGAATTCATTGAAAGTAAATGATTTCAGAAGTGGGAAGATGAAATTACAATGCAGTGCTTGTGTGAACCATATGGTAGTCGTAAAACGTCCTTCAGATCAAATCCTTCTATTATCTGTTTGCACCATCAATTGTTACTACTCATTTTGATTAAAAAGAAACAATAAGAAGGAAACTGTAAACATCTAAATTCAGTAAATACTTTGTGGCTTCTAGGTCCTGCAAGTGCAAACAAACTTGTTTTCATAGTAATATCTTGAATTTCCACCTTGTCAGCAAAAAATATGTACCTACACCCATGAGATCATGCATTGAGAATGTATGGTAATGCAAATTGAACATTGCATTAGCACATGAAGTGTATAATGTTCTATAAACAAACAAAATCCTGTTTAAGATGGCCTGGTACACAGCACAATCTACAACAACAACACACTATAACCCCAACTCTGTTGGGATATGGGGATCAGCATATACGCAATCCCCCAAGAGTAAAAACACTGTATGCATTTACTACCCAAAACTTTATAGAAACTAAGAAGCAAGGAATGTTTAATGTGTCGCGATACCAATACTGTGTATGGACAATAAGTGTACATACTTGTTAAGCATTGATGTTATTCTCTCTCTTGTCTCGGGTGAGGTCACCAAAGTAATTGCATTTTTCTGAGAATACAATGAGTCATAAGTGGTCTGACATATAAATGCATCCCAAGATCTAAACAATTAAGAAATACATACAAAGAGGAAGAATTACCATAATCCATGCATGCGCAATGTCAATGGTACGGGCTGTTGGTGTTACAAAAACTGTGTCACACCCCTACATTTTACAAAGAAGAGTATGAGGAATATCACGAATTGCAGACTTTCATCACCTGAAATTCTTAAGACTAACTACTACCTGTCCTTCATGAAGAATCTCAATATTTGCGGTACTTTGACTGTGAATAAACTGAACTCGATGTTCTCCACTAACTGTATCCGGATTGGAGAAAGATATAAGCAAAAATTACTGACAGTCACCAAAATATAACATTCTAAATAGGGTTATGTGAAATTCTCAAGACTGCTCTTATTCTAACAAGATACAGAAATCCACTGCATCCAACTATCATATTGATCACAACTAACTAAATGAATTGCAGTATTTGATATACAAACTACCAGATCATTAGGTGACAAGAATATAAGACAAAATTGTCTACAATAGCTTCGAAGAAAATGCATGTGATTCTACAATAATATAGAAATGCAAGAACAATGTTACCTCTTATCCGACCATAATGTGAAAGATCCACGACCTAAAACATAAATGTCAAATTCTTCCTTATCAATCATAATTCAACAGTGTGCATATGCAAACTAGAAGGACTATCCACTACAGGTTATTATGTTAATTGTTACCATCCAGCAGAGCCTTAGTTTTTTTCTGTCACTCAAGTGTGCAACAATTCCAATAGTTTTTGCAATGAATATAAAAGCATTCAATGAGACAAAAATGCAGTTCAAACTGATCCTACTAGAAAAAACAAACTTATAATCCTTAAACTCAAACTCAACTTATAATCCTTTTCAAGACTTTGTCCTAGTTTTAGAAAAACATGAGAAAACCTGGAGCAGATTAGGCACCTACCGCAACTCCATTTTCAACTGCACTTAAGGCCTCCTCATCAGCATCAAATTCGTCATCCTGCAAGTGTCTATTGCTTAGTTGGGGAAAAAGTGTGAAATGCCAGCCTGATACTGCTAAAATACTCTGTAAATCAAGTAGTTCAGAAATCGATGAATACATTGCACTATGCAAGGGCATTTTCATTTCAATTTTAGGAAGAATCCAGGCATTTATGTGGGATAGTCAAGTCGATTCTCAGTAATAACTACAGAAAACTGAGCTCAATTTAGCATACGGATTCATACGATAAGGTCGTGACCAATGGGCGGAGGCGAGCGATCGAAAGGCAGAGCGGAGGAAGAGTAGTTGCGCGCCGTCAGATTCTCCGGACGAAGCGCATCGTTCTGGAGACGGAGAGTGCGGGAAATGGGAGGAAGGTAGAAAGCGCGGCGAGGAAGATGATACGAGAGGGTAAGTGGAGTTGCAGAGCCGCTGCCGGAACACGTCATCATCATCATCTTCACTGAAAGTCCAAATTTCAGCTCGGGGAAATCTATTGAAAGCTTTGGTAGTTGGTTCTTCCTGGTGAAGGCGTGAAGGCTATCAAGGGGATGCATTCAATATGGAGTAAATTTTTGTGACTAAATAACACTAAAACATAATGATTTTCTTAATCTAGCACTTAAACTTTTTTATTTCTTAAATAGGATTTAATAATGACCTAGTGTGATGAATAATGTCCAGTAATAATGGACATTTACTTGAATAATGACTACTTTATAATGTCCAAAGATCCTACATTGAGAAATAAAAATATATGATCCTATATTGGGAAAGTCATTATGTTTTAGTCCTATTTAGGTAAATTTCTCTAAATTTTTACAGGTATATTTTAATAGTGCGTGGGTATTTTAATTGAAATTATGAAAAGCTAGTATCAGACATTCACACCGGTACGTTGTACGGATCATTTTTATTGTTTCTAAATTCAAATCATTTTTCAATGATAAAAAATGAGATGTAATAGAATATAGAGATTATAATAATTATATTATTTTAAGATACAAAACATCCCTCTTTTACAAACTTTGAAAGACTTTTTTATAGACTATATTATTTGTACAATTTGTGAGAATATTGTCTTCATTGCATATCAGAATCTTCAACTCACTACGATTAGTTACTCTTGAAACAGGAACATAGAGTTGTCCATGACTAAAACATGTTGGATTATTGTTACAAAAATTTGTGATAAACCCTAATTGCTCGTATCTTCATCATTAACATTGATAACTACTTCTCATAAAAAAATTCAAATCAGTTAAGATCTCCATTTTTCGACAGTTTTGCAACGTAGGAGAAAAAAAATTTCACGATGAATGTAATGCCTATGAAAACTTTGTAAATGGATGTATTTATAATATGATTTTTGCATATGGGATTAAAAAAAATTATTCGTTTTTCAATGTGCTATAAAAAATTTAAATTACTATTACTATATTTAAATATTTTAATTTGACACGGTAATTAATTAGATTTCATTAATAGCATGCTTAATATCATTTTATTAATTATAATTTTAACTTCACAATTACCATATGTATTGGCTATACTCTTTTTGGCGGGAAAACGTAATATTGACTTCACATCTTTTTAAATAAAGTATGGATAATTTGAAATTTAGAGGTTTTTATTGAGATTTTATAAAAATATTTTTCTAAATCTAATGGTATTAAAAAATTGATAGATTCTCACGGATTGTTATAAGAAGTATTTGCACTAAATAACACTAAAACTTAAGTCATTTCTCTAAATAGCACTTAAACTATTTTATTTCCTAAGTAACACATAATAATATCTATAATGTCCAGTGATGGCGAACATTTACTTGAATAATGACTAATGTAAAATGACTAAAAGTGCTACATTGGGAAGAAAAACACATGTGGTACTATTTAGGAAAAGTCATTATGTTTTGCTGCTATTTAAGTAAATTCCGCTTGTTATAAAATATGGACCATGATGATTTTTGGTTCTCTATAAATAAAATTCTTGTTTGAGAATCCAACAAAAAGCCTAGGATTTTGTCGACTCTCATCTCTTCCACATGTTGAGGTTATCTTCTGTCTAAGATTCATCTTCTCTTCTCCTCTTTCGCAAGCAAATTAGGATGTAGGTACTTCTCTTCTCCAACTTAACCATGTTACTCCTTCGCTCCTTCGTCTCAAAGGTAAGGTCTTCTTTGTTTCCAATGCAAGGAAGTACTCCCTCCGTCTCAAAAATTCTTCCTTTTTTTCTTGTCTCAAAAAGTCCTTATTCCTATTAAAAAATAACTTTTACACATACTAATTCATACCTTACTTATCATATCATACTTTTCTACAAATGATCTACTCACATCCTATTTTTACATATCATATCAAGAGTATTTTTGGACAGTTAACACAAAAAATATCTCCCTTAAATTTCCTAAAAATTAAAATGTGAATAGCTTTATGGGACGAATGAAGTATATAATACTGACTTTATTTATGATTATATGAATTTTTGTATGAGAATATCATAATCATACAAAAAATTCTCATATAAAAAATTCACTTTGGGATGGATGAACAGCTTTATAAAATTCTATGATTATGTCTTCACATTTGTGGGACAAAGAAAAAAAGAAAATAGGAGTTAATGAAACGGAAAGAATATATAAGTATAGGTTTTACACACGTAATTGGAGTGTGAAATCTAAATATAAATCGGCGAGATTCAGAGAGATAAACTCGATCACTTCAGCCTTCATCATCTTAGGCATCGCTGGAAGGGTGAGGGGGCGACGAGAAGCCACGAAGCGGTATAAAGGACTTTTTTTTATAAATGAGAAAGGCCTTTAGGGATAAATAATACTCCCTCCGTTCTTAAAAACACTTCTTCTTTCATTTTTTTCTTTTCCAACAAAACACTTCTACTTTCTACTCCGTATTAAAAACCATTTTTACCCTTACTTTTTCATACCCTACCTATCACATCATACCTTTTCTTTAATAACAAATCTATCACATCTTACTTTTACCCATCACGCAAAATTAGAAGTCAACTATAATTTTACACTTCTTTATTTTGGCTCCGTAAAAGAGAAAAGTTTTAGAAAAGGAAGTAGTAATATTTAAACAAATGGAATTAAAAATAAACTCTACTAATCACATTTATAATAACAAATACTCCCTATTTTCAAAGCACTTATTGCGAAGCTTTAAGCTTAGAAATAAAAAAGAACCCCATCTTCCTTTGCCGGTTCGCATAACAAAATCAACCGCAGTATAAAACACATCTGCAGCAGCAATCATAACAGAAATAAGAAGATACCCAAAAAAACAATGGATTTCTTGAAGAACAACGCGGCGGAAGAGGCGCGGTGCCAGACGGCGATGACCGTGAAGATGGCGTCGATAGCCGTCTACGCCCTGGGCTTCTTCCTCGCCATGGTCCTCTGCAACTTCGTCCACTTCCTCCTCCGCCCTCTCTCTCAACCCCGCATCGTTTCCGAAGCCATGGTACGTACGTCTCTGCATGGCATTTACGTACCCGTTCATCTCATGCATGCAAAATGAACGCAGCGTTTTCTCTTTTCCTCATTAGTAATTCGCCATAATTATGATTATACACAGGTAGGGTTGTTTCTGAGTAATCTCCCGCCTGTACGCAGGTCTTTAGACGACGACGAGATCCACGAAACCTTAAACTATATTGTCGACGCGATTATGATCTGTCACATGTTCGTCGTGGGCCTAGAGATCGACCCGAACATTTTCCTCCACCTCCACCTCCCGGAGACGAAGGTGGCGTATTCCGGCGTCCTCTTCGCCTTCGTCCTCTCCAACTTCCTCGTCCCCCTCCTCAAGATCTCGACTGCCTCCGACATCATCTTCAACGTCTGCCTCTCCCTCATCCTCTCCGCCACCGCGTCCCCGCTCCTCACCCGCCTCATCACCGACCTCAAGATCGGGAAATCCGACATCGGCCGCTTCGTCGTGGCGGCCGGGGTCCACTCCGACGTCGTCTCCACGTTGCTCATATCCGTCGGGTACATCGTGTTCGACCCGCTCAACAACTTCGAGACCCGTGACGCGAGGAGCGTCGCGAAGATGATGACCACCCTCATGTTCCAGACGGTCCTCGCGTCGCGGGTGGTTCCCCTCGTCATGAATTGGGTGAACCACGAGAACCCGGAGGGGAAATCCATGAAGGGGTCCCACCTGGTGGTCGCCATCGCCTTCGTTGTCATTGTCTGCAGCATTTCGCCGACGTTCGGGGGGTTCAATAAGGTCCTCGCCGCATTCCTCGCCGGACTTTTCATGCCCCGGGAGGGAAGGATATCGAAGATGATGATAACAAAGGTTAACTATGTTTTCACGACCATTTTCTACCCGCTGTTTTTCTTGTGGGTGGGGACATCGGCTCAGCTCCATCAGTTTGGGGCTTCTCATTGGCAAACCTGGGTGAACATAATTGTGTTGTTCTTGATTTCAACCGTCGGAAAAGTTCTTGGGTGTTTGGTCTCCGGCGTGATATTGGGTTTTAATTGGCCGGAATCTGTCGCAATCGGTTTGCTTCTCAACATCAAGGGCCATTTCCAAGTCTTCTTAGCCATTGTTGCCTCAGTTGTAAGCTTCTTTGCTCCAGTCTCTACCAAAATAATGTTACACATTATATTATTAATTGACAAAATTCACTACGAAAATGATGCAGATGAAATTCACGAGCGTCTCATTTGGGTTGTCGACGGTGTTCGTCAGCTTTCTAACGATAGTCTACACCCCATTGGTGGTGGCGAAGATCATAAAGTGGGCCCGGAAGCGGTCCCCGACGCAAAGAATGGCCCTCCAGTGGCTGAACGCGGCGGACGAGCTCCGGATCCTCCTCTGCCTGCGTGGCAAGCAGAACGTGTCGTGCGCGATCAACCTGATGGAGATCTCGCGCGGTGCGCCCGACCCGGGGATCATGATCTACCTGACCGACATGATCGAGCTGACCGACCGGGTGGCCGCCACCGTGACCAGCGGGAACACCGACGTGGTCACGGTCACGGACCCGGAGGTGGTCCAGATGAGGGAGGAGATCAAGTGTTCCGTGGAGGAGTACATTTCCGAGCTGGGGAACAGCGAGGGCATAAAGGTCAAACAAATGATGGCGCTGTCCACACTGAACAGCATGCACCAGGATGTTTGTATCCTCGCCGAGGACCTTATGGTCCATTTGATCGTGATGCCGTTTCACAAGAACCCCACGCCGGACGGGAAGCTCGACGTGGGCCACGCCGGGTTCCGCCACGTCAACCGGAAGGTTCTGAGGCACGCTCCGTGTTCCGTGGGAATCCTTGTGGACCGAGGGCTGGGCGCGACGTTGTTGGTTGCTGGATCGAAGCTGCACGCCGCCGTCATCTTCATCGGCGGTAAAGATGATAGGGAGGCTCTATCATATGCAGGTTTGTAATTACTCCCTCCCACCAACAATTTCTTTGGACCAATATTCATATTGTCAAAGTTTACTTATTTGTTGCCAAATTTTTCTTTTAATCTATTTTATAAAACGATATAGTCATGTCATATCTAATTTTTTATACATGTTTTGATCTAAAGTAGCTTTTAAACATGTAATGTTTATTTTTCTCGATTTCACACAATTCTTCATATAAAATAATTTTAAAAAAATTCAAAACAAACACCGTAATACATAATCGGTAATACATAATCGGAAAATAATTTTTGGACTGGGTATTACAAATTAAACATCTCAATAATACTCGTATTTTAATAAAGTCAAATTGCACTGAATAGGACTGAAACATAAGTCATTTTTCCAATGTAGGACTAAATCTTTTTTATTCCCTAAATAGGACTTAATAATGTCTAGTGAGAAGAATAATGAACAAGTGATGCTAGACATTTAGTTGAGTAATGACTAACAATCATACATTGGAAAATAAAAACATATGGTCCTATATTGAGAAAGTCATTATGTTTTAGTCCTATTTAGGTAAATTAATCTATTTTAAAATATTTCATAATAATCTTTATATTTGACTTTTCTTTATAATGTTGAGTACTTAGTATTCATTTAGGGCACAACACTAGGTCTTGAAATTTTGAATCACCTAAGTGGCTTCATTCATAAAAATTGATGATTGTTAGACTTCTAACCACTAGTGAACTCCTTAGTCGAATGCACCACCAACAATTAGACCCCCCCCCCCCACCAATAAACATAGTTGATTTGGGTAAAATAATTTACTACAAAGTAAATTCAATTTATGAGCCTAATTTATGGGGGTGGGTTCAGGTTGGACCAAAGGGAAAATTCAGCTTAGGCCGATGCATGTGTTGGGTTTATCGGGATCACGTATTAACCATAGTACCATAGTACCACGCGGTATTTGTACATCTTGTTTTATTTATTCTTTTTTCGTATGTATATCATTAACTCTTTACATAAAACAAATTTAAATTTCAATTTTTCAATTCGTTTTATTTTAAAATTAATTTATAACAAAAAATAAAATTTACATAATTAAAAAATATATCAAAAGTCGTATAAAAATTATAAGTGACAAAAATATTTAAGTAAATTACTCTATTTTTATTTTATCAATAGTAAAAAAGACACACAAATAGATGATCAAAAGTCTGTGTGTTTGAAAATAGGGCGGGTGGCGAAACATCCGGATGTGAAGCTGACGGTGATAAGGTTTTTGCTGGAGGCGACGGGCCGGGACGGCGACAGCGTGGCGTCGAGGATAAACAAAGCGAAGGCCAACACGGCGGAGCACCAGGAGGAGATGAAGCAGGACGACGAGTGCTTCGCGCAGTTCTACGACCGGCACGTGGCGGGAGGGCGGGTGGCGTACCGGGAGAAGTACCTGGTGAACTCCGGGCAGACGTTCTCGACGCTACGGTCACTGGAGGGGCAGTACCAGCTGTTCATCGTGGGGAGGGGCGGCGGGAGGGTCAACTCGGTGTTGACGGTGGGGATGAACGACTGGCAAGAGTGCCCGGAGCTGGGCCTCGTCGGAGATATTCTCTCCGCCTCCGCCTCCGCCTCTGTTTTGATAATCCAGCAACATAGCTTTAAGGGAGAACTTGATGGTGTTCAAGATGAATTCTCCATCATGTGAACCTACCTATTTTTTTTTTTTCAATTTTTCCGACTGTGAAGTCCATTAAATATACTCCCTCCGTCTCTAAATAAAGTTTCTCTTTTGTTTTTTCTTTGTCCCTAAATAAACTTCTCTTTTCCCTTAAAAAACCACTTTTACCCCTTACTTTTTCATACCCTACCTATCACATCATACCTTTTTACTAATAATCTACCTATCACATCTTACTTTAACACATCACATCAAGGGTATTTTTGGAAAGTCAACACCAAAATATCCCTACCTTAAATCCTCAGAATGTCAAAAATAGAACTTTATTTAGGGACGGAGGGAGTACAATATAAATTGTGTATATATAGTTCCGTCCTAAAATTAATTTCTCATTTTGACTTTTGCAGTCAAAGTTTTAAACTTTGACTTTATATTACGGAAAAAATATATTGAATTTTCATATAAATTTAGTATCAATAGATTCATTTTGAAATATAGTTTTGAAATATATTATTTTGATAATATATATTCATATAAAAATGAAGATATTAATGGTCAAAGTGTCGCATTGAAAACCGTGAAAAGTCAAACGGGAAGTTAATTTTAGGACGGAGGAAGTACTATAGTTTATCCAATACGATTTGAAAAAATCAATTTTCTTATCCTAGAATTAATATTAAGACGAGGAAGGTAATACTCCCTCCGTTCCACAAAACCCTTCCGGTTTTGACTTTGGGGAAAAATAAGGAAAGTGAAATTTTGGTTGACTTTCCAATTTTGTCCCTGATGTGATGTGAAAAAGTAAGATGTGATAGTTTGGTTATTAGTGAAAAAGTATGATGTGATAGGTAGGGTATGAAAAAGTAGGGGTAAAAGTGGTTTTTTAATGGAAAGTGGAAGTGTTTTGTGGAAAACAAAAAAATCGAAAGAGGAAGAGTTTTGTGGAACGGGGGTAGTATTTAAGATTGTAATATCATATTTTGCTTTTTTAAGCTTTGGGGTAATTGAATCCACCACGAAATTCTAGTTAGATGACTAAAAGTGCTACATTTGGAAGAAAAACACATGTGTTACTATTTAGGAAAAATCATTATGTTTTACTGCTCTTCATGTAAAATTAAAACAGAACTAAAACATAATTAGCAAAGATTATGCCTAAAGTGAACTATTTTAAATTTCACGAAGATTAAAAAGAAAAAGTTAACAAGGACGAAGTTAAAAGAGAATGGTGGCGATCCATTGTTTTAGGGGTAAGTATGAGGTGATGGATTGTGGAGCTGTAGACATAGCCTAGCTGGTCGCCGGCTACGCCTCTATGGTATATGGCCTATGATATGAGATGAGTGTATGGGGAATATTAGTATACATTTTTCAAAAACATATACTTTCTCCGTCCCAAAAAAATTTACACGTTTCAAAAAAATTGAGTCCAACAAACCCTTACCCATTTCTATTAAAAAACCACTTTTACCCCTTACTTTTTTAAATCCTACCTATCACATCATGCCTTTTTCCTAATAATCTACACTTCACATCCTACTTTTACCCATCACATCAAGGGTTTTTTTGGAAAGTCAACACAAAATTATTCCTTCCTTAATTTCAACTTTAGTCAAAATGGGTAACACTTCATGGGACGGGGGGAGTATAATGACACAAAATATCAGTATAATTTTTTTAATTACACTAATTTATATCTTTGGGGTAAAAGTTAGGATTAATGGGTCAACAATTAGAATGGTGGGTCCGCTTTTGGGTCTCCCATGTAACCATTTCTCGTCAAAGGCCGGTCTTGAATTCAACCCGGCCCGCTTTTTCGTCTCCTGCTTGTCAAATGAATGTTGTCCTCTTAGAGCATCTCCAACCATATCATTTTAACTAGCTAAAAGTTATAATATAACTAGTTAAATGATTTTGTTCTTCTCTAAAGGGCATGCTTTATTTTAGCAAGTTTGCCAAAAAATAACTTTGGTTTGCTAAATATGACAAGTCCCTTAAAATTTAGCTAGCCAATACTTAAAAATTAAAATGACAAATTATGGTTGGAAAATATAGCAAAAAAGTGCTTGCTATATCACTATTCACTTGCTATAATGTAAAAATAGCAAATTAAAATAACAAGCATGATTGGATTTGAAAATAACTTATACTCCCTCCGTCCCAAAAAGTTTGTTACGTTTAAAAAAAACTGCGTCCCGTAAAGACCGTTACATTTCTATTAAAAAACCACTTTTACTCTTTAATTTTTCAAACCCTACCTATCACATCATACCTTTTTTCTAATAATCTACCCATCACATCCTACTTTTACCCATCACATTAAGGGTATTTTTGGAAAGTCAATACCAAAATATCCCTCCCTTAATTTCCCAAAAAATCAAACCGTCTCATTCTTTTTGGGACGGAGGGAGTAGCTTTTAATTTACTAAAATACAATTTTAAATGTTTGCTAATCTGCGTTAGCTTATAAATTATGGCTTTAGAAGTTAAAATTAAGATTTAGAAGTGCTTTCTAGCAAAGCTACAAATGCATGCTTTCTGCTTTTCTAAATTATGACTTCTACTTATACATAACTCACCACATTCCCGAACACCCTCTTAGTACTCTCGCACAAGCTTTTGCTTCACATTTCACTTTGCCTAATACCCCTTCCTACCTCTTCTCTTTTTTCTTTTCATCTGTTCTAATAAAAAAATTATTATTTTTAATTAAAAGGCCATTTTCACCATTACTAATTTTAATCTATACATCTAATCATTATTAATTTATTCATCAAATTTTACTTTTTATATATCACATTAAAGATATTTTTAAAAATTCATCAACATAAGAGAGTAGTATTTTTCTTTTTTACCTATGTACATTAATCCATTAATTAGAATGAAAAATTATACACATTTGATGTAAGTTTTGATGTAAAAAGTTTATAATTTCTAGTTTATAAAAAGTTTTGATGTAATTTTTAGTTTTAGACCATACACATTCATAAACTTAATTTGAATTGAAAATAAGATAAAATTTACACCATACTCCGGTAATTTTGTTGCGTATGTGACTTCATTGTAAATTCTTTTAAAAAATACATGTCACTACTTGCTTTCAATATTTCCTCCGTCCCACAATATTTGTCAAATTTTTTATTTTTTAAGATCTGTCGACTAGGATCAATTTTGTGATGCATAACTAAAAAAATTATGGTATACTAATTAGATAAAATAAAATTTTAAATAAAATTGTTTAAAATAAACCTACTAAAAAATTTTCGTTCAAAATCTTATATTAATTTATTTATGAGTAAATTTTATAAACAGTCCCTAGCTAATTACAATTGGTTTTTATATTTAGCCCTCATTTTTAAGATATTACATAAAATATTAATGGTCCATAATTTTTGAAAATTATTCTATATTCGATTTTTCTGGGACTAAATGTGAGAAAAAAACTATCTATTATATCTGACCTAAAAAAATTATTTATGGAATAGTTTTCATAATTAAAGACCATTTATGTAATATTTATGAATAGGAGACTAAACATGAAAAACCAATTGTACTTGAGAATCATTTATGAAATTTATTCTCTATTTAGTTTAAGATCAAAGTTTGTCAATAATTTGAACTATAAAAAATTAAAAACTAGACGATTAGGTTGAGACAAAGATAACATAATTTATGAAAAATTATTACGTGGTATTAGGGTCCATGCTCATTTAATAGACCCTAATACATTAATACTACGTATCATTAAAGTATTGAACCTTTTACAAAAAAGAAAAAGATTATATGTGAGTTGTACTTTTTTTAGTTTTTTACTAATTTGCAACTAAGATTAATTTAAAGAAATAAATTTTGAACACAATTGGAAAGAAATCAGTAATAAAAGTGAAACAATGAGTCACATTGGAGTCATCATCACAATAATAAGAGCAGAAAAGTAAATTAGGATTGACAGGATAGATTTACACCAAAATTGGGGAACTGATCAAGCACAGAATTTAAAGTCCTTCAAGCCTTCATCTTCTTTAAGTCATCTCATGGATTTCACTCCCTCTCCTACGTAACCTACCCCTACCCCCCCCCACCCTACCTACCCAATGCTCACCCTTAATTGGCTAAGTCACCTCCATCTCCCCATTACTATTATCATTAGGTCACATGTTAATGATGATATGAAGAAGCTTAATAGATGTCACATAAATTTCCCTTTAAAAACGGGCAATTTAGTAAAATTATTCAATTATTACACCCTTCAAAAGAAATACTCCCTCCGTCCGTCCCTAAATAAACTTCTCCTTTCGTTTTTTCTTTGTCCCCAAATAAATTTCTCTTTTCCCTTAAAAAACCCCTTTTACCCCTTACTTTTTCATACACTAGCTGTCACATCATATTTTTTTTACTAATAATCTACATATCACATCTTACTTTTACACATCACATCAAGGGTATTTTTGGAAAGTCAACACAAAAATATATCTCCCTTAAATCCTCAAAAAGTCAAAAAAGGAAGTTTATTTAGGGATGGAGGGAGTATTGAATTATTAATACTCCAATTGTCCGGAAACATGTGATTTATGTTTCTTACTCACAAATAACCATTTATGGGTCCCTTTGGCCTTCCGATAAAAGTTTAGCCATAACATTTTGAAATAGTTATATGACACTAGTCTTTCCCTACAGCGTTTTCAAAAATAATATAAATATGAAAATTTTATCGAAAATGCTAATGGTAATCGAAGAAAAGTGATGTTTTCAAACCAGATCAGTCTATATATATATATATATACTCTCACACAAAACCCCACCAAACAAGAACACGAATAGAAAAAGAATTGCACCTGCAACGCTTCCAAATTGTAATAATTAGCAGGTACCTACATGTAAACAAAATTAAGCAATTTACACAAAACCCTAACCATAAATTCATTAGAGTTTAGAAGAGAAGAACCCCAACATAATAATTAAGCTTGATAAAAAGAGGCAAAGTACTTAGATAAATTAAAGGCTGCGTTTGGCATAAGTTTAAAAAATCAATCTGATCTACACCTTGAAAGTATTATTCAAATCGTTGTTCCCAAACATAACGGAATAGCTAGAGTACACCATTAGATATATGGATTGAGAGGAATGAAGCCTGGTCCGATGCCGAGTTCACTCAACGATACAGTCCATCATCATCCCGAACGAGTGAGGAAGACGACGATGTCGTACGAGGAACGCCGCATCGAGCCAGCCAACATTCCCCTCAACCTCTTATATATCTCCGCCGTCTTCTTCAACTGCTCCGGCCGCCACCAGACCATTATATTTATACATACTGTACTGTGTATACACACACGACAAAACCCTAAAATATACAAACCTAAGAAAATGATGATTTTGTGGGTACCCTCTCGATCAAGGCTGGCTTTCTTCAACTTTATATACTACGGAGTAATATATATATATATATATATATATATATATATACACACACACATATATATATACTGTATGTATATGTCTGACTCTGTACATAGTTTATACATGAAAACCCTAATAGCTATGGTGGTTCTCTTTTATAGGAGAAACGGGGTGGGGAGAGTCGTCATTGGGGTTGCCGCCCACGATCCGGTTTTATTGGTAATTAATTAATTAATCAATACGCCATCCGAAAACTACCAAATTTCCTTGGACCGTGCTACACACCCTCACCCTTACTACCAACCTTGCTTCCATTGAAATTATGAAATTGGAATTGATGACAATGATTTCAGTTTTGCTATTTGATAGCAAAAAATATGTGGGTTTTGAATTGGTAGTGCCAAAAGTGATTTTGAATTGGAGATTTCAATTCCATTCAAATCAATTCCTTAGAATTTCAACTCCTAATTCAATTCCAATTCCATCCATTCCGTATACCAAATAGGCCCTAAGGTCAGATATTTTTTAATAATAATGAACACATACTGTTTTTGGAGTCATATAAATTAGATATAGTATAAGAAGTATCGTAAGTTAAATTATTCACAATCAATAATGGTCCATCATATAAATTACGGAGTATGATTATTCACATATTCATTTAGGATTCATTAATAATTCAAATATTAGTCAAATACAAATACAAATCTTATTATTAACTCGTCTCATATTTGGATTCTTATTCGAAAACTTAAACAAATACAAATTCAAATATCTCGATATTCGCTTCGATTCTGTTCGTTCATAACCCTATGCGTATATCAAAGTTCAACATATCACAAACTAGGAGAATGGGAATAGCGATATACTCAATGAAATCAGACATAAAATCAGTCATCCAAAATAATATATTGGCCAATTGTTTCGCAGATTTAATATGTAAGTTAATACTCCGTAAATGACAAGTACTGTAAATTAATAGGTAACTTTAAATGAAAAATGAAGAATTTTTTTTGGAACGATTTAAATGAAAGAATTCTTTTTATGAGAGGGAAGGAGTAGTATCCTTTTTTCATATCCCCATCTTGTTTGTTTAAAATATCTTAAAATGTTTAATTTAGATAAAGTGTCCGTTTAGCAACCGACATTTCAATGTTTAATTTCACGTTTAAAAAAATATTATCCAATGATAATATTTAGCATTAACATTTTCTAAGTCTATCTACAATATTATTTATCAACTTATTATTATTCTCTTGGTTTAGGAAGAGAGTATGTTTTTTTATATTGGTTTTGGTTTATCGATTACCAACTCAGCATATGATTCCCTAATTATTCTATACAGAGAGAGGTTCAATTCACTGCTTCATATTCACAACTTAGACTGTAGTTTTATCAACAACAGTACACGATAGAATAATAAGTTAATAACAAAACATGGCTAAAATTATGTTTTTTACAAGTTAAAAAAGAGTTGATATGTTTAGTATCTCCATTCCAAACTAAATTGTGTATATACTATTTAAAAAGTCAAACTTAAGTAATTTTATTTTCTTTAATTTGTTACTCATTTGATAAGACAATATAATCATATCATAACTAGTTTTGTACATATTTCGATGTACTCCATCCGTCCCTGAAAATTTTTCTTCTTTCTTTTTTTCATCCGTCCCTAAAAACTTTTTTCATTTCTAAAAAAAAGTCACTTTACCCATACTAATTTTTAACCTAAATATCATATCGCATCACATCTACTCCCTATTAATCTATCTATCAAATGATACTTTTACCCATCACACTCCAGAATATTTTTGCAAACCCAACACCAAAATACACTCCTCTTATATCTATTAAAAATCAAAACCTCACATGTTTTCAGGGACGGATGGATTGGTTTTTAAATATGTAATTTCTATTTTTTAATTCTACACCATTTTTCATATAAAATAATTTGAGAATAACTTCAATCAATTATTCTAAACCAACACAGGCAATTTAAATTGGAACGGAGGGAGTTACAATAGATGTAATGGGTAGACTAATAGTGAAAAAAGTGTGATGTAATAGTTAGGTTAAAAATTAGTAAGAGTAAACTTTTTAATAGAAATTAGAAAGATTTTTTGAGATGGTTAAAAAAAAGTAGAAAAATTTTGTGGGACGAAGGGGGTATGGTATAACTGTATAAGTTAATAACAAGTGTTATGCTAATAAGAACTGTTAAGCATAGCTAGAAATATGAGATTGTGGTTCATACTCCCTCCATTCTTAAAAATACTTTCACCCTAATTTTTTACGCACCTTATAAAATACTTTTACGTTACCGAAAATGTCTAAAATGCCTCCAAAACAACTTCTACCTACAATACAAAAATATATCTCCCTTAAATTTTTTAAAAGTTAAAACCGCAATATCTTTGTTAGACGAAAAACGTACATCACAGTTCAAGATCTATAAACTAAAATACGAGGTGACAATAACATATATTTTATTTTATTAAACGATAACAAAATTATCTTGGACGACAACTTTGAGTGGAAGACATAGACGACGTGACACAGTGTATTTTGGCTCGGAAAACGGTAACGAAGCCAGCTTGTGTTTTTTTTATTTTTGATATATTGAGTCAACGCCAATAATTAGGAAGACAAATCACTCATTAATTAATTTTGGTTTTATTGCCCGATCACTTTATCATACAGATCGAGTATCTCCTAAAAAGGTTTGAATTTTTTTTAGTTTGGGATAATAAATAAAAAACCGAAAAGCTTAATTTGGGTTTGAAGGAGTATTATTAGTAAGTACGTTGAGAAAGTTTTTTCCTAAATATGATTTATAAATTTTATAACTTTTTTACACCAATCGACAATTATATTGAGTTAAAAATATTTCAATCAAAATTTTAGACAGAAACCTGATTCTAACTCCATCGGTTCTTGTAATTTTATTACAAATTGAGGTTTACGAGACAAGATTTTTAATCTTTTGAAATTATTTTATTTAGAAATTTGTAGATCAATAAAAATAAAAATTACACAGTACATATTAAAAAATATTCCCTCCGTTCCAAAAAGATTTACACCTTTTAAAAAGATTGCGTCCCACAATCTCCTACCCATTTCTATTAAAAACCACTTTTACCCCTTACTTTTTCAAACCCTACCTATCACATCATACATTTTTTCTAATAATCTACGTATCACATCCTACTTTTACTCATCACATCAACGGTATTTTTGGAAAGTCAACACAAAATTATCCCCCCCTTAATTCCAAATTTAGTCAAAACGTGTAAATCTTTTTGGGACGGAGGGAGTATATGTCAAAACTCTAATAAAATAAGATGTTATAAGAATATTTTATTTTTTCAAATAATCGACGAAAACACACAAATAAGAAAAATTATCCTGAAGTGAGGAAAAAAATTGCAATCAATTTTGAACGGAAGGACTATTTATAAAAGATAGAGTACTAAATCTGATTGAACGGCCACTAAAAAGAAGTAAATTAGATTTTGATTATAGATGGATGACAAAAAGTGAAGTCTGCACATACTAGTTGCGGAGGCCCTATGCTAATTATCATAATTGTTTTTTAGCGTAGTTACCATAAATCAAACTTGAATTTTACTTCCTTAACGCTCCATACCTTTGGTAACTAGCGTTACATATTTTAAATTTTATGTGTAACATCAAAGTAAATTTAAAAAAAATAGACTATTTATAAAAGATTGAGTACTAATTAATATGTCACGCTAACATTCTATCTGATATTAAATTTTCATTTTTGCGTTACAATATTTTTTAAAAAATGACGAGCCTCATCTCCAATGGCCCCTCAAACCTGGCTGAACGGTCAGCGAGAAGAAGTAAATTGGACTTTGATTACAGATTGGTGGCAAATCGTAAAACATGCACTTGCTGCTTGCAGAAGTCGTATGCTAATTAGTATTATTATTTTTTAGCGTAGTTGCCAAATAATTAAACTTGAATTTTACCTCCTTTACGCTCCATACTTTTGGTAACTAGCGTTACAAATTTTAAATTTTATGTATAATATCAAAGTAAATTAAAAAAATAGTAACACTGATCATAAATGTCAATCACAAATGTTCTGAAGCGAAGTAACATTGCTGAAAATGCCGTATAAAATTGGGTGAGAATAGTCTCTTTTTTTTCCGTTAGTGTAAAAGGGTCCGGATTCTGAAAATGGACGGCTGAGATTGGAGGATCGGACTTTGTGGGGTCCCACTCGAGAGAAGTGAATGCAGGCTTAGGATTACGCCACCCAACCAACCCCCTCCACCCTCCCCAATAAATACGGAGGGGACGGTGTGTGGTGGGTCCCAGGAAGAGAGAGAGAAAGAGACCGGACAAAAAAAGCCAACGTTAATTTTGGGGGGGGGGACGTGGTGGTGGGTCCCGCGGGGGAAACAATAATGATAAAATGATAAGTGTTGGGGTCTGTCTCTCTGTCTGCGCTCATTTCACAGCCACAGAGACTTTTGACGACAGCCAGCTAAGCTAAGACCTCTCTCTCTCTCACTCCCCCAATTTATTTCACCTTCTTGGAAATAAATTTCTCCATTTAAAAATCATTTGAATGGATTTCATCCAGGTTTCTTCTCTTTTCGTCCTTCAGTAATTATTATTCTATTTTTCGCCTTTCCTCGGCATTCAGTTTAATTTGCGCAATATTTACCATATTTATATGATTAAATTATGTTGTTTTTTATATACATGTTGTGGAAGATGGTTTAATCAAATACTACTCCTTAATTTAAATCGTATGTTTCGGTTTAAGGTGTTTGACTGAAATTATTTTTAAGTTACTTTATATGAAAAAAATGGTATAGAATTAAAAATTAAAAACTACAGAATACATATTTCGAAAATACATCGACAGATCTACAAAACTAGTAGTGACATGACTAATTATTTTATCAAATGACTAACTAAAATAGGAAAATGTAATTAATGAAGTTTGATCATGTAATTAAATAGTAAACATACAATTTAATTCCTGACGGAAGGAGTGCTAATAAATTAATCACACCTCTTGATTTGTTAAATATTTTAATATTGTTTTTAAATACTCTGTATATAAACGTTATAGTTTATTTCTAAACTATTTCTTAAGATAAACTAAATGTTAAAAACAATTAGTTCGCCACTATTTTAAGTGGAGATAGAAGTATTATATTTTGTAGAATGCGTAAAAAATGAAGGAAAAACTATTTTTATCACGTAGAGAGAAAGTTTTTGTTTAGGATGAGGCGATGATAAAATTTAAGAACACAAGTTTTGTGATTAACATTTGTTTTTTTTTTAAAGAAAAACTACTCGTAAGAGATGTCATCATAGACAGACTGGAAAAACAAGAAATTAATATGCACTCGGTAAAAAAAAGTGGGTTATGGAGGAAAATGCCAACACAAAAAGACACATCTCTGTTAACGAGGAAACAGAAGACACGTGAATCTACCACGCAGTAAAAAAAATACTCACTCCCACACAAAATCTCAGCCCGTCAGATTGGATAGATTATTATCACGCAGTTTCATTGAAGTGGCAAAATTTTTACTGTCAAAATGCACTTCCAAAGACATGACTAGAAATAGCAAATACAGTCAACCCACTGCTCACTCATAGAGTACCTTAATCCTGAAATACTCCGTATTTGTTTAGTTTTTACTTTTTTCAATTTATTATTTTCAATTTTTTATTTATAATTAAATAAAATACATATTATAAATTAATTAGATAAAATCAAATTTTGAAAATTTTTTATATGATTAATCTAATAAAATTATTTATAATATCAATATTTAATACTCTCTCCGTCCACAAATAAACTTTACGTTTACTATTCACAAGGTCAAACTTTATTCACTTTGTTGGCCTATTTTCGTCACCCATTTGATAAAATAATATAGTCATGTCACCTCTAGTTTTGTAGATCTTTTAATATAGTTTTTTAATATGTAATTTTATTTTTCAATTCTACACCATTTTTCATATAAAATGATTTGAAATAATTTCAGTCAAACATCGTAATGCGCAACGTAAAGTTTATTTGTGAACGGAGGGAGTAACATTTTTCATGGTGTAAATTATCACCCGGACAAACTACTCTAGACTAGGTCTAGGGTGATTTTTTGAGTTTAGATACTGAAAAGACTCAGAAAATGAAGGTTGATCGAAAGGATTGTAGATGAAAACACATGTAGACCAATTGTTATTAAATACGAGAAGAGTACAGGGAGGTATTACACATTACGCTTTTAGAGATGAAATTTGGATACCTTCTACTAAGGGTTACAAGTATATTTATAGTGAAGCTAGGGGACAGGGTGGTAAACACTCATAAGTGGCCACGTGCTTGCCACGTGATGACATGACATTTCCTTGTCTTGTGGCGTTTGTTCCTTCTTGGATGCTTTCCTCTGCGACTGTCCTCCTTCGCGCATAGTGCTTGGGTGGGAATGTGTGAGAAAGCCTGCAGGTGCAAAGGAATCTAGTTTGGCCCAGTCGCTTCCAAGCCGCTGCCGTTCAATCGTGCTAGACTGTCATCACGTGCAAGTCACTACAAGTTCCAAAATTGCTCTTGGACGGTTCCTCGACAGCCTGTCTTGCTCACTTTAAAATCCTCCGCGATGAGAAGCTATCTGACCACTAGCCTAGATAGTCACCCGGGTGCATGGTTTCTTGAAGATGATCTGACCGGGTCACTCAGGTGGTCAAGTTGGACCCGACCCGGGCCGTGATAGACATACGCCCAAACTGTCCTAGTGCGCATTGTTAGGACTTTGCCCGATTCGTCTCATCTTTGTTCAGTCATGCTAGGTCATTATGATATTAGTACACCAAGCCCTAGAAATCCACCCGGTTAGAAATCCACCCATTCGTCTCATCTTTGTTCAGTCATGCTAGGTGCATTCGTATTAGCTTCTATCCCTGCGTTTGGTAGCTCAAGATCAAAGCTTTCACGCACAAAGACATGGTATATACTCACTCCGTCCCAATTTATAGTGCATCTTCACTATCCACATAGTCAAACCTCATTTACTTTCTTTTCTATTTTCGTTTGCAATTTGATAAAATAAAGTTGTATTGTCACCACTAATTTTGTAGATCTTTTGTCCTTTTAATGTAAAATTTTGATATGTAATTTTTATTTTTTAACTCTATATCATTTGTCATATAAAATGATTTGAAAATAGTTTCAGTCAAACATCGTAAACCGAAACAGGCACTATAAATTAGGACGGAGGAAGTATTATTTTTCAAAAAAGAAAAATTAATTCAAAAATTGCTTCTGGACTCATTTTTGAAAGTATGTCTCATTTTTATAAAATGAATTTAAAATATCAAATACACCCCTCAACATGAGATTGTCGCATGTTCATGTCTACAATGCCCATCTTATTTTTACTCTTGTAATAGTTTACGCTCGGTACGATGCATAACTTCTCAATTAAATGTGAATTGTGGTCAACAAATTTCAGAGGAACAAAAAAAATTGACCTAAACCCAAAGAGAGAGAATAGCTATTTTTCTTTCACACTGATTCTATGCCGTCATGTTGCATTTCCTATTGGTTGTGTAACAAAGGCCATGCAGCATTATCTTTGGTAAAACTAATCTTATTATAATGCTATAACTGTCCACCTTTCTTGATCAATTATACAAAGAGATAAACCATTTGCACGGGAAAATAAAGAAATGGCAGTAAAGGAAATGATTTTTCAAACCACACTATAAATCTCATATGCCAAGCATTTCTTCCATGAGAGTATAGTTTGATTACAGCTCAGTGCAATATTGGTACTAGAAATGCTTTTGCAGCTTCTCATAGAAATGCATCCTTCTCGAGGAGCTTCAAGACGTCTTGCTGGTTATTCAGTTTCGCAACCTCTATCGGTGTCTTACCGTCCATGTTTTGAAAAGTCCTGCACAGAGAAAACAATGCCAAAAGGTGAAAAATGGTCAGGCCGCTTCTACTCAACTTAACGTAAAGGACAGTTTGGGAAGGGAAGAAATGACTTCCGAAAGTCTTTTTTTTTCCTTTTTTTGGTATTCGCCTATTCCGAAATATAGGGGTCGGTTCCTATGAGTATTTTTTCTGGCGGAATAAAATTCTCCAACTTCTTAGATTGATACTCAAAACGTCTTATTATGTTCTAATAACAAAAACTTTTTTTCATTTACCAAACTTTTCAACCAAAAACCAGAAATGAATTTATTTTCAAGAAGCCATTTTCTATCTTTCCAAACAGACCCTAAATTAATTTCCGTTTAACACTTTTCATTTCATTTCAGCGGAAAAGAATATTGTTTGTGGAGAAAGAAAATGAACTTACACAGCAGCACCGTTCTCTAGCAGAAGAGAAACACACTCCTTTCTGCCATACCCGGCAGCATAATGGAGAGCAGTGTTCTTGTTCTTGTCCAAAGCATCAACCTTTGCCCCAGCTTCAAGAAGAATTTGAGCACACTTCACCTGTTTGTGTATTTTATCAAGGGCAATTTGTGTTAGGATATTAATTCAATATTTCCAAAGGTTTGTGAGAGGGAAGATTCTAGAGAATTCTATAAGTTGGTGGAGATGTGTAGAATTCTCTAGAGTATTGTGAACTTTTCTAGAGAAGTGTAGAAGTCTCTAGAAATGTGTAGAATAGTCTAAAAGTTTCTAGAATATTCTAGAGCTTCCTAGAAAAGTGTGGAAGTCTCTAGAAGCATGTGGAAGAATGTAGTGTTCTCTAGAATATTCTAGAACTATGTGGAGTCATCTAGATTCTTCTAGAACATTATGGAACCATGTGGAGACTTTCTAGAAGATTCTAAAGATAAAGAGATGTGTGGAACATTCTAGAGAAGCCTAGCCTTGGTGAGGAGTATAAATAGGAGTGTGGATGCCTCATTTGGCAAGGGGTGTGGAGGAAGAAGAGAGTGAAAAACCAAGAAGGCTTCTTGAGAGTGCTTGTGAGTGAGGTGTTCCTAATACAAAGAGTGAAGTGTGCTACCTGTGTAATTGTAATCTCTGTAGTACATTTTCTCTATATAATACAAAGTCATTTTCTAAAAGTCGTGTCTTTGTATTATTGAGTGTGTGTGTGAGTGTACAAGAGTTTGGTTGTGTGAATCGGGGAAAGAGGTCGAGACGCATCAATTCCCCAACAATTAGTTAACCCCCCGGGAATGAAAGCTAACATGAAAAAAGAAATAAGTGGCATGGAGGAAATTGTGGAATATTTAATAAATAATCACCAGCTTTGTGGTTTTTTACCTCGCATGGATGATGAGAAACCAAGAAGATGCTAATGAAGAACAAAGGATAAATATAAAAAATGAAACCGAAAATTGAATAAAAGATAATGAAATTTTAAACAAAAAATGCTCAAACTCATCAAACATTTTTGATATATTTTATCAAAGTATATGTCATTATATTTAGTTCTTTAAAGACATTTAGTTTCCTTAGTGTTCGTGCATTTGAAGGTAGAACAAAAAACATTTCAACAACAAAGGAAGGTCCCAAAGTGGGGCCTAGGAGGGAGACCTTACCCCTACCTAAAAGGGAAAACAAAACATAAGACAATTAGAAACATTGGAAAAACTGTTCAGAAGCATTATAAGTTTTGCAGCTTGGAAGAGAGGAGATTGATTTTGGTGCTGCTTCACACACACCTACATCATTTCAAATTCCCCAACTCCAAAACGTAATTCATGGTCATGCAGTTATGCCGCCAATCATGGTTGGTCAACCCGATGTTAAATCCCAAGAACGCAATGATCTTGCAACCTTTTGCTGCCACCCTGATATAGATTGCTGGCAGGCGCTGGATGTAAAATGAGCGAGAGCAGCAGCACATCTACATTTTCTTCGGGGTGATCCTATGGTTTGTGATCCAATTTGGGTACTGATGGATCGTAGGTTTTTTACCCAGTTTGGTACTAAAAAACCAGACACAATGTACTATTGGAAAACATTTCAGTTCTCTATTAATAAGAGACAGCCAAAACTCTCCGAATTGCCAATAATCAACGCTTGATGAACAAATGAACAATATAATTTCCATTGTGCATCACAGACTAGCAACTGCTTCTTCCCAACTGGAAAAGTTGCTAGTCTTATTTTCATCTTAGTATTACTTTTTTCCACTTGTGCATAAGAACACACACACACACAGCCACACAGGTAAAATCTTCAAAAAATAGGATCTTGAGATCCTTGTTATGCCATCATGATTGAAGGATCTACCTATGTTGCATGGGTTGTTTAAACAAGTGCCACTCTCCATCCCCAAAAGGTTCCCATTTGGGTACTTGGGACGTCTCAACACACAAATTCTTTATAAAATTTGGAAAAACTGTGTTCACACATTTTCAAACACACCCCCATCTTGGTGCAACTTAGAATTCTACCATCCCCTCAAAAGTCATAATCCTAGAAGCTACGTACAATTCTGAATTTTACAACACTAACAGTCTGGCACCAATATAATTTCTACAGAAAGGACTATTTTTTGGTGCACCTCAAAAGAACAATGTGCCATATTTGTTCCTAGCAAATGATTATGGAGGATTTATTAGGAGTACTATGATCCCAAGTAAGGACATGGGTAAATGAGGTTCAAGGTAAACAAACCGCACATGTATTGCTGCAAAGCCAGTTACAGTGAATAGCAAAAACAAGGACAATATTTAACTCACTAACCTCCCCATATCCACAAGCAAAATGCAGTGCTGTCCTTCCTTCTGAATCTTCTTCATCTTTATCAGCACCAGCAGCAAGTGCATTCCTCAAACCCTGAAAACAAACAAAATAGTATTATGGGTCACAGAAATTGCACACACAAATAATGGCTGCCTGTTCCGGTGTGCATTGAAAGAGCTTAAAATATGATGACATAACAAGACTATGAAAGAGCTTGAAAAAGCTTAAAATATGAAAAACTAAATAAATTCAACTTTTCTCTCCATCTTAATTCTATTCTTCGTATTTTTCCAAATCAAACAAAGGCTATATGACCAACAGGTAGTGCATTCAGAGTAAACCAATAAAAAAATCCACCTCATCATCACCATTGCCGACACAAATATGAATAATTGAATCATCTTCACTTGCTTCTTCTGCTTCTTCCGTTTCTTCTGCACCATTTTCCCCAGATGTGTCTGTCTCTCCAGTAACAGAGAACCCCATTGCTTCACCCAACTTCTGTAGGACATCTTTGTCATTCCAGTACCTGAAGAAAAATATAACTTTGTATGTTATCCTACCAGACTTCCTTTCAAACTCAAAGAAGGTACATATTTTTCCAGCAGAAGGTACCTCATCATTGCAGCAGGACCCCCACGTTCTATCTCTTCCAGAATAGGTTTCAAAGATGGATCCTCTCTGACACGTGCCATTCGTTCTTCAAGTTGGTCTTTTTGGGCAGGATTTGACAAACTATCAAGCATGCTGGACATGGAAGGATCCTGTGAAAGTCAAGAAAAGTCAGCTGTACCTCCATGATAGCAAATTAGCTATTCAATAACATCTACAAAACTAGAAAAGTGTGGGCCTTTAACCTGCATCAGCGCGTTACCAAGCCGCTCAGCCATTGTCATAAACTGTGGATTTTGCATAACTTGTTGCATGGTGGAGTAGTATTCCTGAGGATCAAATTGAGGGACTCCATCTTCAGCAACACCTTGAAATGTACCTTGAAGTTGCTGGGCCATCTGAGTGAATGAAGGATCTTTTGCTATCTGTTCGGCTAGTTCTTTAATACTTGGGTCCTACATTTGACAGATTGATCTCCCTGTCACGTTTGAGTTCTCTAAAGGTTCACACAATAACGGCAAAATTTTTAAATTTGAATACACATTAATTGTTGAGTCCTGCTATTATCCACTACATTTAAATGGGCAAGAGGTTGAAACCAAAAAAAATTATTTACTCTGTTCTTTGACAACACAAACGGCAAAGGAAAAAAAGAAAGAAATATAGAAGACATAAACCAAAGATATTAAAGGTTTACTGTTAACAACAACTAAGACACCAAAAGGATGTTAAAAATCTTATTAGTATGGAGTATATTAGAACCATGTCCAATCCCATTTACTCACCAACAGAATTACAAAGTAAATAATCCATAAATTCTGAAATGAGATTACATCGAAGAGGTGATACTACACTATTACAAGAATATAAAAAAATTGTGGGATTACATTTTAACGAATATAAGCGATCAAAATTAGTAACAATGAAAATCTAAGTTAATCAGAGTTAAGTGGAGAGTCTTTACATTAAGGAGCCCAGTCATGGCTGAGAAATCAAAAGGATTAGCCATTCCAGATCCAGGGGCAAAGGGTGCTCCTCCCTGTGCTGATAGTGTCTCTACAGGAGTAGATTCTGAAGGCTTTTTACTATCAGCTGCACCAGAACTCTCATCTGAAAATTAAAATAGAATTTATTTCCTTTACATTAGTAATAATCACTTGACCTCTGTTTTCTTCTAGCCTGGTTTCCGCTAACCACTCTTATATTGTTATTTGTTTCTTCTAGCCTGTTTTACTATCATTTGCTTAAAACAGAGTACCTAACAATGTTTGCTCCCCTTAACATTCAAGAAAATGAAAGTTAAAATATCAGCTATACAAATAAAAAGCGACTAACAAATAAGGAATTCGTGTTTCTGGGCCTGAGCAGAATGTTCAAAGTCTACCTAACCATTGCGATCATTTTCTACTAATGACAATGAGTAATCGAAATTCCTTCAAGATGCTTAAGTAAATGGCATGATCTCATCAACAATTTCAACTACCAGCGGAATACAAACGAAACAACGAACCAAGGAGAACATACACACCTTTCTGAGGCGGCAAACCTTTTCCCTCCTGAAATCAAACAAAAACGAACCGCGTATTATCAAAATAGAACGTAGAAGATAGAATCTCATTCAGATCAGCTGGAGAAAAGGATCAAAACATCCAGACGTCAAGCATAACTACTCGATCAAGCCGATGAATGATCATTAATGCCAATCGAGTTCAATTGGATTCAAGTCAAAGCCCAATCAAAACACTAGGCTAAGCAATTCGAGGATTCAGCCATAGTAAAAAGCAATAGGATTGATCGAATCAAATATTACCTGAGACATGGCTGAAGCGAGCAGGGAGAAGAGTGAGATGGCGTTCCTTCTTCTTCGACTAGAGAGAGAGAGAGAGCGAGAGAGAGACGGAGAGACGATGACAAATGGTTATTAGGTATGGAAATGAGGGGGCCCACACCAATCCTTATCTCGCATTCTCGGTGTAAAACGGAACATATGGCACCGATAAGATTTCCATGGGCCCTGAAAGATTTCCGTGCGGGCTGGCCCGGAAGTTTTCTACATATTGGGCCTGATATCTTTCCAAACCATCTCAACAAACTACGGGGTATAGCTTGTAATTTTACGTATTACCATCTCAACATTTTTCGGTTTTTAAATAAATTTCAATGGTTCATTTTTACTTTTTAATACGGAGTAATTGTTTTAAATTACATGAAATCAAATAGTAAACTTAATTTTTGAGTGGCTTGAATTATTAAATCAATGATTAATATTCCTCAGGTTTGTTATTTGTTTTACTCTTTGACTTGTACATAGATTAGGGAAAGGACGATGACACCCTTAAATAGGAATGATTTGGGGATGAAGCGGGAAAACTGATGTAAGGGCACTGAAAATACCCGCGAAGCCTCGGAGCTTTAAACCGAGACTTCAAAATTTCTCTATCCGCCATGTCAGTTTTAACTTACCTCACAGATTTAGTAGAAATGAATTTGAAATCCCGGGGCTTCAAACATTCATATTTTACATTTTAATTATATTGAAACGAGAATAATTAACAAAAAATTACATGCATTAAATTAAAAGAAATTAAAACGACAATGATTTAAAAAATACATTAATAAAAAAACTAATGTAAATTATATTTAGCCTTGATTTCTTTTTGTCTTCTCTCGAATATCATACATTTGAAGCCCGATAACGTATTAAAGTCGGTTTCCATTATTTCGATTTCTTCTTTCTCTTGCTTTCTTCTCGCCCTCTCTTCTTCTCGAATATTGAACATCCGAAGTTTTTCAACCATTGCCCGACTGATATCGTCATGAGAAAAAACGGAAACAGAGTCAGACCCTCTAGAACCCGAGGTAATGGATTTTGTCTTCTTTCTTCCGATCGGCCGTGGAATGGGGTTTTCGTCATCGAAATCCGCAACGTTGAAGGGAGGCATTTGTTCGGACGAGTCGATCTCAATCTCGGTGTCGAGGGAGGATCTTTTCTTTGAGGATCCGGCGTCAAAATTGTTGAGATTTTGCCATTTTGGTGAACGGCTCAAAATCCTCCAAAGATCGATGGGCACCTTGCCTTGGTGTCCGTCGTCTTGATAGCGGGCCGTGGCAAGCCGGAGAACATCAGCATCATTCGTCCCGCTCCTCCGTGACCGGGCGCATTCCTCGTAAACTCCGATAAACTTTCGGATCTTAGGGTTGATGTGGCTCCATTTGTAGTGAGTTGGTCCCGGGTATGGTACGAGCCGTCCTTGTTCATCAACTTCTCCTCGATACAATCTCACATCGCATTCTTCGTTTGCTCCGAACCTTTAAAAAGAATAACACGAAATTCTTTTAACACAAATATATAACATGATTATATAAATAAAAACACAAATATATTAGAAAACATATAATTTTTACCAACGATAGGATGCTCGGAGACGTCAGCCCTAAGCCGATGCCAACAGGAACTCTTCCTCCGGCGCCCACTTTTGGACTGACCGTGCCGCCTCGGTCATCGCTTGAGTGCATGTCGCTTTGTGGCTCTTCCAGTGTGCACTTTTTTGGTGTCGGATGGTTCCGGTTGAGTCTCCACAACCGACAGCCCGCTCATAGACGTACCCCGATGGTTATGTCTCGAGCTACGTTGGATTACTCCCGTATTGTTGGAAGATCCACATGGTATGCTCGTTAGGCTCGAGATCGTCGGGGAAAAAGCCGGAGCTGGAAGGATTCATGTTGAAAAGAGAGTTGGAGAATTGAGAATTGAAGATGAGAAGAAGATTGATGAGAATTAGAGACTGAAAAGTGTGAGAATTGGAGGAGATGGAGTTTGAAATTTATAAAAAAAAAAAAACTAATTTTTTTTTGGGTTGCAAAAGCTAATTTAGCCGTTAGAGAGGAGAGAGGCTGCGTCAAACTTCTGACGCCGAGGGAATGACGCCGCTTTGAAGCTCTAGGGGGGCGGTGTTTAACACCTATGGCATTAAAATCGTGCTTGATGCCGGTGGGCATTGCACGTATTTCCTCTCCTCCAATTCTCACAATCGATTGTCAAATGCGACTGGGCCTTTGACAATCGATTCTTTCTCTATTCGGGCAGAAACAAAAACCACTATTCAACAACTTTTATAGGTCATTTTTCAATACAATATTTTTGATGCAAGAGATATAATCATATAATACAAGTCGATCTTCATGATCAACTTTCTTGTGCAGTGCTTTGTGTTGAAATTTTGATTGGCACAATTTCGCTTAATGGTTGATCATGGACAGTGGCATCCATCGCCAGGAAGGAAGTATTATACAAAAGAAGCAAATGAACAGATGAAAACAGATTCATTTCGCTCAAGTCCCCCCCGCCCATTGCAGAAATTGAATTGCTAGATCCAACTCAATAAGAAACCCAAATTCATAGCTTCGATTTGAAATAAAATCTCGCTTTTAATGGATCCAGATCTTCATTTATGATAAGCGAAGCTATTCATTATTGTTCGATGATCACAATAAGATGGAAATACATAATCGATCGATTGATCTCCTTCAAGAAGGATGAACCTTTTTGGAATGAGAAGAAACGGCCTTGACGGCGGATCTCATGGAAGCAGCGGCAGAACTGACGGCAGATTCTATGTACTTCCTCGCAGAGGCAGCGGCCGCCATCTCCGCTGTCTTCCCGGCAGTCCTCGCCTCCTCCGCCGCGCCGACCAGGCTCTCTAGTTCCGCCTGCGCCATCCGATCCATCTCCTCCTCGAACCGCCGGAGCTCCTCCATGGCGCTGTCCATGACGGAGTGGAGATGGTCCTCCGCCTTATCCATGTGAGTCTCCGCCTCTATGACTTGTTCATCCTGCTCGAGCTCCGAGGCCGCCCATGCCTTGTACGCATCAAGCTCGAAGAGCTTCATGACATCTTCAATCGCGTGCGGATCGAAGCTCTTGTCGCACAGAGCTCGGTCCGAGAGGATTTCGAACTGAGAGATCAGAGCTTCCATCTTCTTCGTCTGTGATGAGATCTCATGAATTGGGGGCTCTTTAAGCTCGGTGTGGGTTATTAGTGGATCACTGGAGCCGTTACCGGTCGGTGGGCGGATCAGAGCACCGTATAAAGATTCCAATATCTAAGGACCATGACAAATATATCACATTTGTACACCACAGCTTTGCACAAACATTTTGATGGTTTACACCGACATAAGTGTTGGTGTGTTAATAAAAATTCACACGAACACAAATGTTGGTGCGTTTAACAAAAATTAGTTTTACACCAACACAAAATGTTGGTGCAAAACTGCGGGGTACAAATTGGGATACACATAGCATAATCCATCCGTAAAAGATGTACGAGTAAAAGGATTTTGTCGTTAAATTTCACAAATAATTACTCCTTATCGTATAAGAAGACTATTATTTCACCTAGATACATACTCTCTCCCGGAAGATAAGAGTTATTGATTTTTAAGAAATTTAAAGAAAGTATATATTTTGGTATTGAATTTTCAAAATAAGTCCTTTAATATGACGGATAAAGTAAGATTTAATGGGTAGACTATTAGTAAAAAAGTATAATGTGATATGTATGGAATGAAAAAGTAAATGGTAAAAGTGACTTTTTAATAAAAATAAGAAGTGTTTTTTGGGACAGATGAATAAAGAAAAGATAAAAATTTTCGGGGATAGATGAAGTACATTTTAATACCGATCATAAAAATACATTAAACTTTACACAACGATTCTTTTGACCTTAAAATTCAATATCGTATACTTCTTCCGTTTGCAAAAAGACTTCTCATTTTGATTTGGGGACAAAATTATAGTTGATTTCCAATTTTGCCCTTGATGTGATGGGTAAAAGTAAGATGTGATGGATAGATTATTAGAGAAAAAGTATGATGTGATAGGTAGGGTATGAAAAATTAAGGGTAAAAGTGGTTTTTAATAGAAAGTGAAAGTGTTTTGTTGGAAGTGAAAAAAAATAAAAGAGGAAGTGTTTTTGAGAACGGAGGGAGTAGATGGTTTGTACCTACTAACCCTTTATGCACCCACCTAGCACCTTGTTGTCTCTCTTTGATCGTTAATTTGGCAGTACCAAATTGGCGATCTAAGAGGAAGGGGCAATGGGGTTTAGAGAGGGCACGAATCATCATTTTTATTAATGGAGCATCGTAGGTGTTCCAAAATGATAAAGTCATTTAAGGTCAAAAGTGACTCGAACCAAAAGATCTTTGCCGTAATTTCTATCATTCTTTCACGAGTGATCCATTAACCGATTTGCCGAATTACATGCCATGTACCAATGATTTTGCTTTTCTTCCTCTCTATTCGTTCTTTCTTTGTTTGTTATTCTTCTTCTTCTTTTTTCTTTCCATAGGCAACCAAGTAACTTTATCTTATTAATATTGAAGTTAAAGCACAAGAATTGATATTTAGTAAGCAAGACTCTAACTAGATCTTTTATTTTTCGTCACACTCAAGGCTAATTAGTTTTTGACATAAATTTTTATGCTATGTATGTATATGCCCCAACTAAAATTAAAGAGACCCTGGCCTATCTAATTAGGTTAATTTTTTCCTTTTTGTTTAATTGTTTTTCAAAAGTGTTTTTATCACATATAATTAATTGTTTATAAAATAAAATTTTACATTGCCTTTTGAAAAAAAGTTTTACTTTCAATAAATGTTTAAAATAAAATTCATTATTTTTTGCCGTTAGTTAAACCTATTTTTTCTTTAAAAAATATGAGGGTAGGTGCTGCCCCAGAACCCCCGATCCATGGTGTCGTGAACTATCTTAATTCCTAGATTTGTCACTGAATAGGAGGTGGCTTTGGATCAGGACGGGATGGGAGATTCATCGGTAGATTAAGTAGGGTAGAAATCATGAATTTTACGAACGAGACACCGAAGGGCTCCCGGGTCATCCTATGATATTGCTAAGCAATGTCACCCCGAGTACTTGGTACATTGATTGATTAAATTTCCATATCAACAAATGTTTAATTTATATTTGCAACATGGTTCAATTTCAAAAATTCAAATTGCACCCATGAACATAACTTGAATGGGACAAATATTCCAATATTATTAAATTGATTGATTAAATAATTGGTTTTTTTCTAACGTCACCCTATGTGCACCCATCCTCCAACTCTGCATTCTTCCATGCATAATGCTACGTTGACCTGCCTTTCTCTAATCCCCCCTTTCTTGTCTGGTTTTTGCTTTGTGTCGGAAAGAATTCATCTCTGTTCTGCTTGGCTGTCAATCTGTGAACCAGAACCGCTCCCAATGTCTCTCTATTATATTTAAGACATTAATTAACCAACCATATTATTCAAGACGAGGTCTAAATAAATACACAAACCTTTTCAAACTGTGAGGTTTTGATCAAATTGGCAGCTACATTAATCTCACCTCTAGATTGAGAAGAAGGAACAATGTTTTCCGGAGGAATTGTTAGATGTTCTATACAATTCGATAGCAGTCTGAATGGCCAAGACGATATAACCCAAGACCACCCCCGCACAAGGGGGTTCGTCTCGGGGTCTTCAAAAAGATCATCGTCCCCGTCTTCGTCTTCTCTGTTAGTCCGGTAGTTATCTGGTTGCAGAATGTGGGGTGAAGAATTTGGCAGGGGAGAGCGGCAAACGGGGCAGGTGTTTTTGATTTGGAGCCAGGGAACGATACAGGGAGAATGGTAGAAATGCTTGCAAGGCAACTCTCTCGCTTTCTCCCTGACCTCGAACTCCTCCTTGCAGACGGGGCAAGCCGGGTTGTTGGCCAGATGAGCCGCCCCGATCTCCACCTCCGGCAGAGATTCAATGGCCGCCGGTGTTGCTGGTGGCGGCCCCGCGCTTTCCTCTTCAATCACCGGCTCCTCGTATTGCTGCTCCAGTATCCTATTTTCTGACACATGCAAAATGTAATTTATGTATCTCGAAAGTCATAATAGTGAGTGAATTATGAACGGAAAGAATGGAATGAGTATATTCTTACGCGGCAAATAATAGAGAGCATTTAGGTCAGGAGAGACAGGCCTAGGAGGCGGCTCGTCAGGGCCAATGAACTGCGCGATGACTTGCCGCCACCGTGTGTACTGATGATCCCAGGGAGGGGGATCTAGAAGGATAGTAAACGCGTCGAGCAACCCTCTCGCTCCTCCTCCTTCTTCTTCTTCTTCCCTCCCCCTGGGATAAGCACCGGGCTCGTAGCCAATCTGGGTGAAACAACGGGGGCAGAGTAAACCGACGGGGTTGGCGGAAACGGTTCTGATTGATCTCAGGCAACGCCTGCACCAGTAGTAATGGAAGCTTCTCGTCCTCCTCCTGACCCCATTCGACAGGATGCCCAGGCGCGGGAACCAGTTCGCAGGCATCCGAACCGATCTGGTCAAGTGACGAAGGATTCAAGGTTATTGAATTGAATGAAACCCAGGTGTGTGTTTCTTGAAAAATACTATATAAAGACAATGGAAGCTAAGAAAGGCTTTTGATTTATTCATGAAGATGGAAGAAGAAGTTGAGGCAATACAAGGATGGCTTTCTGGGATTGCAGTACGTATTCTATCTGTAGCTAATTTAGCAAAGCCTTTTTTCTTACATTTCCACTTGTGCTCATCTTTCTTTTCTTCATCATTCATGTCTCCCCTCACCTTAAGTAAAGAACAAGTCACAAAGTTGGGCAAATTTATACTTTTTTCAACCTTTGCAGTTTGCATCCACTTTCTGAGTACAATAAGCTTTCCCACCTTGATTACATGTGGATTGAATCGTCCATTTTCAACACAATCAACAAAGTTCGGAATAAACTCAAGAATGAAGAATTCCAGATTGGCATCTCAAAAAGTGTTAGAAGTACTCCCAAGTCAATGGGTGTTTATCCGTGAATATCCACAAATGACTTATATAGTAACATTTAAGTCATTTTATCTACCGAAAAGAATTTTTTAACTTATAAGCAGCTTATAAGCTAAAAACTACTTATAAGCAATAAGTCAATAAGTATCAACACAGAGAAATAGCTACTTAATATTTATTTGCAAAACTCAATTAAATGTCAAAATAAATCACTCTCCAGCCTTTATAAACCTGACTATTCCCTTCAAACAAAAAAAATTGATTATTTGATAGAAATGATAAAGATATTTATCCAAAATACTTTTAAAGATCATACGGAGCATTAAAATCGACAAAGTTGTACTGGCACTAACGGCCAATATCATTCTACTGCGTAAGACACTAGCTAACTCGACTCGAAAATGGTTCTTATCCTTTCACCCCCCCTAAAACATCTCACCCCAACCTGCATCCTCTCTACTATAACTGAACCCGCGTTCTTGTTTAAATTTTACCAAAATGTCAATCAATTTGGGAGGTGCGATTGATGGGTGTAGTGAGGGCTAGGGAAAGATCACTAAGGATATGAATTTTAACTACAAATTCTTTCTAAGCAACTCTCACTAAAGACCCTAACTAAGTCCAATGTTCCCAAAGATGAGAATAATTTGGACCCGAGAGAGGGCAGCCAGAGAGAGGGCGGCGTTATCCGTCTATACCTCACTCTTTAGTGGACTCGATCGTTCTGATTGGACCAGAGAGCTTAAAAAAAGAACTCTTCCTCTCGCTGCCATGGAGGTTCTCTCCTCCGCCGTCCGCTACTGGCTACTGGACCACCCAGAAATCAGCCAATACGAGTGGAAACACGGCCACTTCACATTGGGCTCCTCTCCCCAATTTCTCGCCGTCGCCGTGATTTCCTATCTCGCCGTCACTCTAGCTCTCCACCGATTTCACTTCCTCCCGCCCCTCTCCGCCGCCTCCCTCCGCCTCATCACCGCCGCGCACAGCCTCACCATGTTCCTTCTCTCCCTCGTCATGGCCGTCGGCTGCTCCCTCTCCGTCCTCCACCAGATCCCCGATCCCGGCTGGAGATGGGCGATCTGCTTCCCGGCCGGCCGCACCCCGCCGCGCGGGCCCACTTTCTTCTGGGCCCACGTCTTCTACCTCTCCAAGATTCTCGAGTTCGGCGACACCCTCCTGATCTTCCTCAGCGGTTCCCGCTCCCGCCGGCTGACCTTCCTCCACGTCTACCACCACGCCGTGGTGGTGGTGATGTGCTACCTCTGGCTGTCGACGACCCAGGCACTGTTCCCCGTCGCGCTCGTCACCAACGCCTCCGTCCACGTGCTAATGTACGCCTACTACCTAATGTGCGCCCTGGGCCACCGCCCGAGGTGGAAGAGGCTGGTCACCGACTGTCAGATCATCCAATTCGTCTTTAGCTTCGTCATTTCAGGGGCTATGCTGTATTACCATTTCACCGGGTCGGGTTGCTCCGGGATTTCGGGCTGGTGCTTCAATGCCGTTTTCAATGCTTCCCTTCTGGCTCTGTTCCTTGACTTCCATTCCAAGAACTATCATGCCAAGAAGAACAAGCAATTCTGATTCAAAAGCTCTCAACTTTTGGAAGCAATGTGAAATTTTACTCAATTTGTTGTTGTTGTTCTATATTTAAATTCGGTTTACGCTTCTTAATGGAAATTTCAGTGTAACACTTCTGATTAATAGAATGATTAAACAAATATATACATTGAAAAGCTCATGAATTTCTTTTTTATACTACCTACTCGTCGTTTTCTCGGCGTGTTTTTTCAGATTTTCTTGAATCTTTATTGATCTCCCTTGTTCTATGGCCGTCTCTGTCCTCTGATTCATCAGTTTCATAGGGCAACACCACGACAGTGGCTGCCGGAACAGTATCCCAACGGTCCTTCAGAAAGCTCATGAATCTCAGAACCATCTGCCTTCGGAACTCAAGTTCTCTGGTGAACAGGTCGAAGATCACGAAAGAGAGAATGTATCTGAATGGAACAATTAGCAGAAGGGCAGCACTGAAGAGCAGCACCAGAGCAACCTCTTTGGTGATCTGAGGTTGTCCCGCGAGAACAACCGACCGGATTTTAAGCAAAGAGACATTGAGACTTTGGAGAAGCATCTCCAGATCTCTCAATGCCTCTTTCAGGGCAATGATCTTTTGGAGAGTGTTTGAAGGTGGCTGGTCGCGAATGGTGACTTTGCCGAAGTACCTCCCAAGCCGGCCTTGCTCTTTCAGCCCCTTCATCAGTAGCATCCCGCCCGCCAACGCCATTAAGGCAGCGGGGAATACGTAGGTCACCATGTCCTTAAAAATAAGGGTGTACGTAAGCGCGAGACAAGATGCAGTCAAAAGTGGGTCCTCCCAGCGTCTGAGCTTTTCAAAGTTGTTCGCCGTGACCACCAAAGGAAGCATCAGTTCCTTGAGAAGGTCTATATTGCTCGGTATTCCTTGAATCGTCGCGGCGTTAATGGTGGCCTGTGTTTTCTCCACCACGCTGCACTTGTCTCTCCATGCCATGGCCGCCTTCTCCATCAAATTTTGATCACCAACCACAAGATCTTTACTCAAGACCACTACTCGGTTTACTCCATCGTGTTTTGCCAAACAAGTCCTCCAGAAAGAAAGCGAAGAATTAGAAGCCCATGTGGGAGACCTCATCCATTTCCGCAAGTAGACGGTTCCATCGATGTCGAATGCGTGAGTTTCCGCCGACTCTGCATCATGTGTTCCTGGAGGTCGACGTTCTTTCTCGGAATTCAATGGCGTTGACCAACAGTTGACCGCTAGCGTCTGCAACATGACGTCGCCATAAGGAGAGTCTTGAAGGTTCGAGAATTGGACTAGTTTGTTGGGATCTTCTAGAAGCTTCTGGGAAGCTTGAAGCGCTCGGAGTCTTGCTATCGCGTTCGTAGCATAAGTGGTTGCTTTTGTCTTCCCATGGTCGCCATCCGCCTCGGGTGCGAAATCTCGTATGAACCTATGCAACGCAATGACTTCGTTGATGCATGCATACCACACATCCCTCCTCATCTCACCTCTCAAGTCAATAAATTCTAGCACCCATGCTTCAGAACTGTCATGCCAAAAACAAAGAAACATACGCCGGATGAAACAATTAATGCAGAAACTAAGGTGTTAACAGGCGGTGGTTTTTGGAGGAAGCTTACTCACGCCGGACCAGAAGAAACAGAAATAGCAGAGTCGAGGACATCGAATCCGAACAGACCCACCCTAGTTTTCTTTACATGACAAAAATCTTCTGTGAGACCAAGCCTTGAAGCGTCTCTTTTCCCTTTCAGACCTGCAGCCTGGAAGAACACTACAAATGTTAGAATTGGAGCAACCAAAGCAAAAGCATTCACAGTACTTAGTTAGAAGTTGAAGTACCTCAAAGTAGAGTGCCTTGTCAGTTAAAGTCAATGTCCCAGGCCACACCATATTATTCTTCCATTTTAACACTGGGTACTTTCCTCCAGAAGCAATACACAGAACTCTCTCATTATAAATATTGGGAGATTCTCGAAATTCATATGATTTCATTTCATCATGCACCCTGAAATGAATTTATTACAGAATGTGAATATCAAATGAGAAATTTCAACTATCAAGAACCAAATATTCAACATTTTGAAGAAGAGAAATTTCCCTAAGGAGCAGTAAAACATAGGGGTTGATCACGTTTAGCACAAATTTCACTATGTTTTTGTGCCATTCGCAGCAGTCATTCCTTTGAAGAATGAGAGGCTAAAGTACTTGTAATAATAGCAATCTAAAAAGCTCACTTGAGGAGTTCATTGATATATGTGGACCATGAGGTGAATGAGATACCCCCTTCATCATCAGCCAGTGCTTTAAAAAGATCATATGCTGTTGACCAATCAGCAACACCTGAAACCGCTGGAGCAATCCGAACAAAAGCTTCTTCCCCTACCAACTTCCCTTTCAACTTTAAACCCCCCCAAAAAATCAATAACGACGTTACAAGTTATAGAAAGTAGAAATGGAATGTTAACCTATGAACATATATATAGAACGGAAAATAACCTGAAAAGAATCCTTCTGTAGATATTCAGCTGAATAGTTATTACTTCTGGTATAGGGCTGTTCCCATGCAAGCATGGTTACATATATCAGTCTCTGAAATGCGGGTTCCTGTGAATCGAATCCAAGCATCTCTCAGTTAAAGAACGATAATGTGTTTTCAAGTCATGAATGCAATTAAACTTGAATTGCTAAAGATTTGAAATAGAAACCTTAAGGCGAGGATGAATTTCAGAGGTTTCCCTTGAAAGAAACCTAAAACAGCAATACTCCACCAAATTGCGGGCATCATTACGGATAGGTTCAGGAACGAGTCCCTTAAATATCTTCTGCATTTTCTTCCCATTGACCCCGTTCATCCTGCATATCTTTCTCTTGGAATGTCAAAAACAGTAACCGCAATAAAATACACAACTTGGTCTTAGACCAATCTTAGAACATGTCCCTTCATCGAGTCCTTGTAGGGGCTGTGTATGAGTGTAGTGCTAATGAACACAACCAAGAATTAAAATGATATCCACCATACCGGCCGAATTGTTCAATGGATAGAACGGCAGCCATGGAAAGATCTCCACTTGGCGTGTGCCGATCAACAGTCTGTTCAGGCACGAACATATCATCTGCATCTTGAGTGTGATCCTGAGAAGCAGACCTTCGATCGTTGACTGTTTTCACCAGTGGTGAAGTGACTTGAACCAGGTAGTTCTGGGTTTTCAAAAACAATTGATTTAATGATTCTTGAACTGAGCCTGTGAAGGAAATGCCAAAAGGCAATTGATTTAGGGCACGGTAAATAAAAAGGTTTGGTTGTATAGCCTACTGCAGTAAAACTTCAAATTCCAATGGAAGTATTATTCCTACTCTAAATATGCTACCAAAGACTGAATTTTTTTTACCAATTCCACGCTCATACCTAAATACTGTAACAAGAACTATTACGTTCTAAAAATCAAGGGAAAAATACAACATATTTGGCATTCAAACCACAATTCTTCTTAACCAAAACACAGTTTTTAGCATTTTTGGTAAACTGAGCAGAAGGGGGAAAGTTCAGAAGACCTACTGGCGTTAATATGCTTTATCTTCCCTTTAATGTCTCCGAGCGATCTGCCCACCAACTTGAACCCGAACCTGTTGGTGTTTGACGGCGAAGAAGAGGCGGAGTTCTTGTCACAGCAAAGAATCTTGAACAAATGGTGCTGACGCCGAGGGCGAGGAAGAACTGGGAAAGATGGAGCCTTTACCAACTCGCAGTTCATTCTTCTTCCGCTCCACTTTTCTTCCTAACACTCTGTATCAGTTTTAATTTTAGAAGTGCTAAACTTGATTTTAGTTTAATTTAATTTGAAAATCAGTGTAAATTTATTTCATTCTTCCTCTCTATTTTTCTAAGGAAAGCTTGGATTTATTACTTATTCATATCAAGTAGTAATACATCACAAATAAGACAGTACGAAGTATATTCTACTATACATTACAAACATCGTACACATAATCAGATGTCTTAGCTAACCGATATCAGTATAAAGTATATACACTATCAGCTTGGAATTAATAATTTTATTTTCTTTTTTGATCCATTCCCAAATAATTATCTTGATTTCATACTTTCGTCTACTTAAATTTAAATCATTTACTTTTTATTTAAAGTTAAAGCGAGATAATTAAGGATTTGTTCTTTCACCTTATATTTTTAGTTCTGATTTGGTTGGATTAAATTTTGATATGATATGATGTAATTGCAGTTGTATTTAAAGCTACTTTTGGTCTAGCCTAATTTATCTGATTCTAATAAAAATAAATAATAAATAATAAGAATAAATTGAAGTAAATAAACTCTAATTCGGGCGAAAGGATTACTTTTTTCTAGTACCAAGTACAATTTAGGGAGTACGCAGTCATTTTTTTCGGTTGTCATGACATTGACTTCAATTAAAGCATCTACGGTATTCTGTTCAAAATAAGGTAATTTTCGACAAACTTTTTCATCCTGCCCGACCCTCACACTTCCATCAATTGTACTCTACAATTATAGTCGACTTTGGAATCAAATACGATAAAAAATTGTCAATTTTTTGAATGGAAGATCATAATTGTCTAACATATTTTAGTCCCTATTTGTTGAGACATTAATTTGGTTTTCTTCCATACCAAAAAAAAGTTGATAGTGGTTGTGGCCACATTTCCACCGGAGAAAGCAGATAAAAAGAGCCACACGCAAAATATGGTACGCCACAAGCTTACAATAACCAATCTCCCTTCTCTCCTCCAATTTCAATGGCCGTTTCCACACTTTCATCTCCGGCGACTCATCTCTTTGCTGCTCCCTCCTTCCCCGGAGACCACGGCATCCCGAAGCTCCACCGAGCTCATCTTCTCTCCGCCGCCGCTCACGGCGGCGACACTTACTGTAGCAGTGGTCCTGTCAGCAGCATTTCGGCCCTTTACAATCGTAATGGCGCTCCCAAGTGGAGAACCAATGTTTCTTTCTTCTCATCTTTCTTGAATCTGTACAGTGCTAAAGACGTCAAGGCTTTCAAAGAAGAACTTTTGGAGGCTATTGCTCCCCTGGATCGCGGCGCAGACGCCTCCCCTGAAGACCAAGATCAGATTGAGCAGGTAACAGACCAAAATCTTTTTTTTTTGTTCAGTTCACTGGTATGAAGGTATTTTCAAATAATGATTACATGTTAACCATTTCTTAAGATGGTAAATGTGCATTCTCTGAATTAGTGCAAAAAACAAGGGCTTTTCTGCAATTCCATTTTAAAGATTTCATTTTTATCTTTTGAAGTTATGGAGATGTTATGAGCAGCAAAATGTGAAGTTATCTGATAAAAAAAGAGTAAAGTTATGTGGAATGTAAAGGAACAAAACTCTTCTTTCTTTTGGTTGTGGAGGGGTTTTTATTCTTGAGATTGTAAGGAAGGAAAAGCTTATTGTAAATGTGCATTGATAAGATTGTTAGGAAGCTGGAAGCAGCCAATCCTACAAAGCAGCCTCTGAAGTCTCCTTTACTGAATGGCAAATGGGAGCTTTTGTATACAACTTCTCAATCAATCCTCCAAACAAATGTCAGCTGTTTACTCTCACCCCCACACAACATCTCTTTTGCTTCTTCTTCTTCTTCTTCTTCTTCTTCTTTTTCTTCTTCTTCCCATGTTTTATTCAAACTGAGGGAATTCACAGATTGGCTTTTGGTTGTTTGTGAGCAGAAACCCAAGTTCTTGAGGTCAAGAAGAAACTACCAAGGAATCAACACTGATACACTTAGAGCACAAAATATGGAATCTTGTCCCACTTTCAACCAGGTTAACTTTTTACAGTAGATTCTTGAAATTACCTACTGTTAATACTTTGGGTTCCCGACATTTACCATTTTAAACATTTAGAAAGAGATCAAAGTCTTGAAAGTTAGTTTTTTTTTTAACTAAAAAAAAAGTTAGTTTTTGAGTTCACTTTTCTGCAGGTGACAGCAGATTTAACCCCAATAAATTCAAGAAAGGTGGCTGTTAAGTTTGATTACTTCAAAATTGCAGGGCTGGTATGTCCATTATTTTCATATTTTAAGCGAAATATGTTGGATTTAATAGTTGACCGTATATTCCATCATTTATTAAATTCATCTCTTGACTCTTTTGCGATTTTAAAGAAAGTGTAAACTGTGTGGTCGAGACTTATACATCGATAGCCATAAGCACTTGTAACTGCTCTCTTTGGTAACAGATTCCTATAAAAGCCCCCGAAACAGCCTGCGGGTCACTGGAAATTACTTACTTGGATGAAGAACTGAGGTGAGCCAATCCATTTTTGTGCACATTTATAAAACACAATAACATTTTTTTCTTCTGTTTTAATAAATTGAACTGTAATAATCTCACGTATATTATGGTGTGCCATGTAACAGAGTGTCAAGAGGCGATAAAGGCAATTTGTTCATCTTGAAAATGGTGGATCCCTCTTACCGAGTCCCGCTCTAATGTATCGACACCATGACAAGATGTCCCATTTATACACATCTTGATATTCTTTTGTATATTGGCATTTTGCAGTCAATATATCATGATTTTTTTAAGCCTCTTTTGGCATTAGCGTTAGAGTTTGGCTAATTAGCTCTAACGTTTTGAAAATATTATATAATGGTAGCTTTTAGTAAGTGTTTTAAAACATTGATGTGCACAATTTGACAGAACGTTATTCCCAAATCGTGCCTAAAATGACACCAAGCTATTTCAAGATATAAAAAAAGGAGAACTAATGCTATATGAGACTTTTACACCATACAATAACAACAGAACACAGTACAAGTCCAACCCTGAAAAAGGGGTTAAAGATGCACACAATCTTACCCCTATAATAGAGTAAAAAAGAGACTATTTCTGTTGGACCATTAATGCATTGTTGTGTTTTCCTACATCATATAGATGAAAGAAATGAAGAAGCAGAGCTTCATGTCTTTATATCCATAGAAGAACTGTCCACTGCATGAAAACTGCTAGAGTATATCTCATAAACTCTTCTAAGATCCAATGCATTCATGGTGAACATGTGTCCCGGCAAACCGAAAGAAATACCATTATTGCTTAGCTCCTCGCATCGCTCTTCCACGGAAGCTGCCTCCCTGAGCTTACCTTCTTTCCAAAGGCTCTTTACAAGCAAGTCTTTAGTGGCAATATCGGCCAATTGTTGTCCGTAACTGCACATTTCCTCAAAAACTCTCAGTCCGAGAGAAGCCCTCTCACACTTGCAATACGCGTCGATAACAACCTTGTACATATAACCATCGGGCTCGACTCCGCTCTGCCTGACCATCCCAAACAGCCTCTGCACTGTTTTGATGTCCCCTTCAAGGGCAAAATGGTGCATCAGCCCAGAAAACGTTTGCCTGTCCGGAAATATCCCAAGCAGGACCATTTCTTCAAGGATGTTGGTGACATCATCGCCCATTTTGCATTTTGATAATGTCCTCAAAAGAGATGAATAAAGAAACAACAGATGGTTTTCAGGGACTGGACCACAGACCGCTTTTGCATTGCGGAAGACCTTTAGGGCAGCAACACCATTGCCAGAAATCCCATAGAAATCGATTATCAATCTGAGAGTGCTAAATGACATCACCAACCCTTCTCTTTCCATCTTGGACAAAAGTTCATTGACTAAATGGACACAGCCATGCCGAGCCAATTTGACAATCATCCTGGATACTGTGTAACTGTCGTGAGTAAATCCTGGTTGATGAGTAACCCAGCAAAAGAATTGCCAGGCTGTTTCTGCAGAGTTAAAGCTTCTGATCATCTTGCTGACTAACCGAGTTGTCCACACAAATCTTGAATCCTCCAATGCTGCCACATCATCAGGTCCCCAGTTCCGCAAGGCGCTAGCAAGAGCAGCGGGGTCTATCCATGGCTTCAAATGACATTGGTCTAAAACATCTTCCGCATTTTCTTCCTCGTCATCATCCCCATCAGCATCATCTAAGCAATGAGAAATGCTCTTAATCCTGCCATCGGGAAGCATTTCTCTGATCAATTCATTGATGTTATCATCATAACTTGCCTCCTGCATCTGTTGCAATGACCAATGCATGGCCCGACCGGGCAATATTCCATCAGCCCTCATTTCTTCAAGCAAATCTTTAATGGCATCTAACCTATTATTGCTGATCAATGCTCCCACCATGATGGAGTACTGCTTTAGTGTGCGCTTTATCCTCATCTGGGGTAAGATCCTGAAAACTTCTACAGCTGAATCTAATTTCCCAGATTTTACAAGATGATCAATTATAACAGTGTATGTCCTGGAATTTGGAAGTGCCCCATCATTTATCATCCTATTGAAAACCTTCACAGCATCAACATCCATTCCCTTATGAACAGAAAGGTCCATTATGATGTTGTAAGATTCTGTGCATGGATGCTTCTGCAAAGCAGACTTCCATTTGTTCCATACATTGTTAACCTCATCAAGGTCTCCAGCAGCAGCATACCAGCGCATACGGTCCATATAACTGACACGCGCAACATTTGTGAACTTGCCTGCGTTAATACCATTAATCAGGGCTTGTAGTTTACCCTTCTGCCTCGATTTGGCAAGAATCTTGGCCAATGCATAGAGGGTGTTTGTAGTATGTGAGAAATGAGAAATTTCTTTTAGAGATTCAACAAAAAGCAATGCAGACTCAGGAGATGGAGCTGAACGCAGAGCACTTGTCACTACAAAAGAGTCTAAAGAAGGGCTCCTTAGGAGTTTGGAAAGACACTCTGTAGAGTCTGATCGAAGACAGAGACGTATAGAATCAATGAGCCTCGCCCTCTCAAGGTACAATGTTACCTTATTCACATTTTGGGTTTTAGAAAAATGACGATATTGCACAGTTAAATGGTTTGTTTGGCCAGTTATCTTGTAGAAGATACCAAGAAACATAAATCGCCGTGCACACAGGGCACTACCTGATTGAAAGGGGAAAAAAAGTTCTAAGAAAAACTGATCTGTGGTAAAATAAAATTAGGTTCTTTAGTAAACACTTATGCTTGAAAGTTGAAACTGAGGGAAATGAAAATGCTACTATGAAAATGCTACTCCCTAGTCCCTACGTCCCAAAAAAGATGTGCCCAGACGCCCAGTGTGAATGGGCACAAGTGTTAGAAGGAAATGGGTCGAAATTTATGCAAATGATAGAAAAACAATCTGAACCGCATACTCTGCAATATTTTTCAAATATAGAAACAAACACATGTTTTTACAGACTAAAAAGCAAAACATGCATGTCCTTTTGGAATAGAGTACACGAAAAGGTCCACAAAGACATCCACCATGTTTACATCAGACCTACAGTTTTTCAAGAGCAGGATTTAAGGAAAAAGGCAATATTTTTCTCTCAAGATTTGTAATAGCTCTCAATGCAAGTATACTACTCAAAAGATCATTTCAAAATATCTATCTTCAACAATGTGAATGGTGTGGATTTGTATGTCTAATTACTCCGTATAATGTTAAGGGTGTTGCTAAATCCACACTCAAAATGGCGAAATCCACACCTTTCACCTAAATTTGCTAAATCAACACCCATTAATATAAGTTTGATATTGGTGTGTAAATTTAGGTGAAATGTGTGGATATAGCCATTTAGGGTGCGGATTTAGCCTCAACCAGAAGTTAAAACCATATGAATAATCTATTTTCAAAACATATACTTGCCGCTGCTCATCAATCTCCATAAGATTATCCCTAATGTTACCTCATATGATTTTGTTATAAACGGAGTAATTTCATCTTCCAATTCCTAAATTTGATAGTTAAAGTCAATCCGTGATAGCAGCGGCCAGCCCTAAAAAGGCTAAAACAGTACAGCAAAGCAGAAGATAGCAGGAGGGCAGCTAATATGAAACATTGTACTATTCAAAAATGGAATTTACTCCGTCTTATGTAAACATATAAGAACTCGAACTTGGTAAAAGCTAAACAAAAACATATGCGGAGTAATTAATTACCAGTGAGGACGAGAAGGGGAAACAGGGTATCGTGGAGATAGTGGCAGCGGTGCAGGGCTGGTCACCACTCGCAAGTGGCCTGAGGTGGTGGCCGGATGACGTAAGTGGCCGGAGATGGGTCGCCGGTGGTTGCAAGCCTCGCGGATTGGATCGATAGTCTAGAGTTGATTTTTTTGCCGATCTGGATGGTTTCCAATGGGCTGACAATGTACCCAATTGAAAAGAATAAGAGGGCGTTTGGAAGGGAGTGAGCTGTTTTTTAAGAATTTATTTCTCTTCTCCTTTAAACCGTAATAATTTTACTCTGTTTGACATATTAACTTCTATTTTTTTCAACACTATTTTGTACGTAGAACATTATTTTAGAGAAGCAGTTATGATGTATTTTTGCTTTCAGCTTTTTTGAAAATATCACTCCCAAACACTCTCTATGTTTTGAACGACTCATATGAAAACGAATCGAATCGAATATTCATGAATAATATTTGTATTTGTTAAGATAAGGTGATATTCAAATTTGAATTTTTTAAGATTCATATTTGGTTTGTAAAATATATTAAACATATTCGGTTCATTTGAAAATTCGATTCATTTAAATTTGACTTGATCAAATAGCGGGCCTAACAATTGAAGCCTGAGCCCAGGTCGCATGGACACCCACAGGCTTCGGGCCGGCCCGCACATGACCAAAACTTCTAAATAATTAAAAAAAAATTTAAAAAAGTGATGTGTTAATATATTAGATATTTGATATAATAACTATATAATGAGTAATCGAAAGAACAACTACTCCCCAATATATAAGATGTGTTTCATAATTTTAAATTATGTCTTAAGCGTAGAAGAAAAAAGAGAGAAAACTCATTTAAATAACTTATTATATCAATGCAAAATTAATGAAGTATATTGTGATAACTTAATTTGAATATATTAGTCATTTTTTTATCAAAGTGGAAGTATTTTATTTCACAAAAAAATGAAAGATGAACTATTTTGGAAAATGGAGGGAGTATTTTATTTAATTATAGGCCAAAATTTGAAAATGAAAAAGATTACATATAGTGACAAATATTCAAATAAAGACAAAGGTAGTAAAAAATTCCTAACTCCATTCTTAAATATTTGTATATTTTGACTTTTTGTTGCAAATCTCTTTCATCGTTTGACGTGTAATTAAATAAAATCATTAAGGATATGGTATATTAATTGAATAAACTAATATTTAAATTATTTTATAAAACCAATCTGATAATATTAATTTTATAACAATATCTACTATCAATTTTATTTGATTAGTAGTTAAAGTTTATCTATTTTGATTGAAAGAAATCAAAATTTGGTGAATACTCCAAATAGTCCGAAGAAAATAGTAAAGAAATAGATAAAATTGATAGAGAATAAAAATGTCAAGATTCTATTTCTTTTCAAATACTCAAAAGTTAAATAAAAGTCAATGTTCTATTTCTTGATTTTGCTCCAAATGTTACATGTACGTATGGTCCATGGTAGATCTTCATATATCCAAAATAACTATTTTCAAGTATTGAAATAACAATTTTTAAAATTAAAAAAAATATATATGAGAAGGTTTACATGGACATTAGATCCACTATTGAATCACTCTTTGATTGGATGTTTGTGATGTTTTTTATAGGTTTAAGTATGCTTTTGTCAAAGTAAAATGAGTGACTTTTGTATTTGGTCCACCATAGAATCATCACTCTTTGTTTTTTATTAAGTCATCCTTGTAAAATAATTTATTTTATGAATTT